CCCCCCCCCATAAAAATCAAATGATAGCTCCCTAAAGGTTTAAGCTGATCAGCTTTTGTTTGAATAAATACCTGCTGTAAATATTAATATTTGACATCTTTGTTTGAAAAATAGTTTTGACATTTAGAAACAAATTGATATTAAAATAATCAGTTTATTTTGTTTATTGTTGTCCATTATTGCCCATAAAATTCATAAAACTGGAGAAGTTCATGTTGATGCTAACTATGAAAAGGTATATCTAGTTTTTATGGTGTGATTTATTACAGGATATGTCGCTAAAAGATTGAGGTAGATATTGATCCTAGGTATTTTAAGTACATTTACGCTTTGTGGCTTACTCGATATTGTGTATCGTTTTGTGTTTTTTTAATTATATATCATACCGTGATTTGATTTAGTTAAAAGCTTCTCCTTGTACTAATTTGTAGGGTATGTCTCTTTGACATATTCCCCATTTCCATTCTCAATTGTATGTTCTTTAATATAAAAATAAGGAGATGTGGTATAATTGCCAATGAGACAACTATCCACCAAAGTTCAAACGAAGTCGATGTTAGTAATTATAGGCAACTGTACGGCCTTCAACAATGAGAAAAAACAATACCGTATAGTCGGCTATAAAAGCCTCCGACTTAAAAAATAAGAAATAATTCCATTGAGAAAACTAACGGCCTAAATTATAGCAAAACAGTTCACGTTATACAAATAAGACAGACATGAACCAACGACAACCACTGAACTACAAGCTCCTGACTTTGGACAGGCACACGAAGAATGTGGCGGGTTAAATATGTGTGTGGGCGCTCAACCCTCTCCCCTAAAAACTGATCGGCATGTAAAAGGGGAGCGATGTCATATATCTGCTAATATTTATATGTTATTACCATGTAAGGAACTCCGGCAGTGGTTGTCATGTGTCATATCTTAATGTTTTCGTTTTTTTTTATTATGAGAAGAATGTTTTTAAATAGTAGATCTTTAATTGTACATTGTGTGTATCCGTTTGATGTATTTACAAGTTTTACAGACTCGAGCGACTTGGCCCATGATATATCGTACAGACACCTATGTATTGCTAAAGACTATGATGCCTTCTAGCTGTATATTGGTTACTGTTATCGTTTGGGTTACTGTCTCATATACCCTACATTTTCTTTCATTCATAATCACTAAGTTCGTCATTTGTATTGAGTGGCTTAACATCACAGTTTATTTTATCCAATATCATTACAAATAGAACAGTAAGGCACGATCTTCCAAAATGGAAACATTCAACCTTAGCAGAACACAAATACAAAACAAACGGAATATTTTAGGCTTGCTTGAATTTCTGACTTAGCGAATTGATGTTCATTCCCCTAAATACTATACACAACGATTAAACAACAACAGCAAATTTGCAGAATTCTGTTTTTAATAATCAAATGGAGTTTCTTGCAAGATGACTCTACGGAATGAAAGTTGGTGTCAGAGTACTGTTTTAAATTCTTATTGAATATTATTGTGTGCTATAGTTCTAAACAATAGTGGTCGGAACGAATTGTGCGTCTGATACAAATATCATAAAAAGACATAAATGCCAATGTCGTTCATGACATATTGGCATAAATAAATACACGAATTATCTATTTGAGCGTTTTGGTAAAACAGACACGTGTTTATTATAGTCAATTGTCACTCATGACCAATATCTGAATAACAAAAGACATTTGAGGGACGTCAAAGAATTTTATATTTGTTTAAGTGGACATTGGATAATCATATTTACAGCAGAGAATGTTCGTTCCATATTGTTCACTGTTATTGATCTAAATGAAATAAGTTATTATTCTACGTATCATACTTATTGTACATGGATGAAAAATTTATTGCATGTAACCTTTGGAGATTTTCTTTGTGTCATATTATTCGATTCCACAATTCTTTATCTATATAACGATAAAACATGTCTGAAATATTAAAGATTGATACATAATTAATTTGATTTAAAGCCTATTGATTTTGATCTTGCACCGAAGTTCCACATGCTCTGTACAAAAGTAACGTTTACCGTATAAATTAATTCCTATCAAATGGGTGGGTTATGTTTAGTGTATTATAAGCCGATAATATCAAAATACATTTAGCATTATTGATTAATGATTATGAAAATAGCTGAAAAGATTAAAACAACATATCTTTTTCAAATGGTTTGGAGACGGTCAAATTGAATGATAAAATCAACTGAAACTGTATTACAAAATTTGGCCGACACTTTTGCCATTATCAAAAAGTAAATCGACAAAAAACGTAAGGGTCTTAAATTTTCCTGAAACAGAATATAATGGACAACGTCGTAAGCAAATAGGAAAATTTCTAGTAGCCAAAATCTTTGAAAAAAAAAATAGATTTTATACTTCTTTTCAACTTATAGCAATTTCAAAAATTGTAGTTTTGTTTTGGACTTACTCAAGATTATACACAATAACATGAACATATCGTTTTGACCATAAAAAGTTTGACAGTTAAACTAATTATTTATTATAAGATAATATAAATATAAACAGAACAGTCCAAAAAGTTTTTTCCGGAGGAAGTTGAATCCTTAGGTTTATTACTATATACAATTAAAATATCGGTGTGAGATAGCAAGGTTAAGACTGAACCACTAGAACCCCATAAAAAATTCGGGACTGGAAATTTACAGGCTCGTTTGATTTGACGCTAATGTATATGTATTGAAATAATGATTTAAAAGACAATGATAAAAAAAAACTTGACCATGATTCATAGAAGTAGTTTTTCATCTTTTTATCTACAATACAAGTAACCCAGGAGCAAATAAAACATAAAGTAAGCTAATTGAATCATATTGTCTTCCAATCTTAGTAGGGACTTCTTATAAAAATCTGAACAGGTCTTTTAGTCTTCAAATTAAAGATCGGTGCTGATAGCAAATAATACCTAACATCTATATAATTATTTAATTTATCTTTAACAAACATGTTGTGGACATGGATAAGCAGTAACCAATACTAAGTATAAGATGCAGTCACTTTTTGATAGTACATTATTGCTGACAAAATTAAGAATATTAGTAAAGTATTCCGAGATTGTTGTAACATATAACAGCGTGTTTCATTTTTACTTTACTTCAATTATTCTTAATTTAAACTAATACAAAAAAATACATGACACATATGAAAAATGGCATGCATTTTTGTTAAGTTTTATTGCATTCCAAGCAAAGAATCGATTGTTAATGAGAAATGTTTTTTTTCTCCAAAACTTTGCTCAGTACTACCCTCACGTTTGATCCCAGATATCAAAATTGATTTTTACATTTTTAAACTTAGTTTACCAAAAGCCTCGAGTTTTACACTTTGCAAATATTAAAATATCGACGAGAAAATTGTTATCCTTGTTGGTTGTAGAGTTTATACATGTATGTATGTATGTCCTAATTCAACTATATAGGTTTGTGGCGTGGAAAATAATGTTCTAATCTAGTTTTATATGCAGTGTGTACATTAGCCTATACCTAATCAATGTGTATGAGATATTCTACAATTTCCTTTATTTTATTTGTTGTCTCTTCAGTTTATGTTTTCCTTGAAAAATGACTTCATAATATGAATAATAAATTACATTGGAAGCATTCATGAATATCATTCTGTTTGATATTGATTGCAAGTGAATAAAATAAGCTAATTCAGCACAATAAATGATATCAGGAGAGTCAAATTATCACGTATTTCGGCTTCTCTCTCTTTTTTTTTTAATCATAAAAAGCACGAATGTAACTCATTTCTGTTTACTCTCTATTTTATATTTATAATTCGCATGCTATATCAGAAACTTACTTTAGTCAAATTATGTCATTCTATTCTCAATTCTATTTGTCCCAGTATTAAAAAGTGTTAAACTTTGTTTAAGAGTGCATACAATTAATTAATTAATTCCGATATCTCCTTTGCAGGTGGGCTTCATTCTTCTTATTGGGTGAAAAAAGCAAATAAATTTTTAAGTAGAGTAAATCACCCCTTCTTACATCATGTACAAGACGAACTGCAACTTTCTTTGGTGGAATGAGTTTATGAAACGGGAGAAATCATTTTGTTGTACATAACAGGAACTTTCTTTCTGTTCTACAAACTCTGTACGATACTGTACTGTACTGTACTGCATATTTTACATTATTTTGTTTACTGTGATCTTTTTTCATTCCCTGTACTAAGTTGTACTCTCGGAAGGGAGCAAACATCTTAAATTTCGAATTTTTATCAAAAGATATGACAGAAGTTAAATAGAAATACATCATAAAAAGCATGCACAACATGTATAATCAGTATTGTAAATAACACGAGAAAACAATCAGTATTGTAAATAACACGAGAAAAAACGTTAGTTACTAGTTTGGTATCAAGCATTTATCTTTTGAAAGGCGGCATGCCATTTGGGTTGGTCTTTTTTTTATATAGAAAAAGTATGATTTAATTTGTTTAAGTTAAAAACAACATTTATATTATAGCCCTACAAACGTTGCTTTTTTACATTTTCCGTGTGTAATTTGAAGCAAATGTACAATTAACATTAAAATTGATGATTTACTTGCTCTATTTCTACGATAGTAGTGGTCAGAAACGCATTTCCTGTCTGTAAAAAAATTACAAAAAGATATTAACGTCAATGCCAGTATGAATTCTTGACATGAATAGATATGCCAATTATCTGTGGACGTATAAACATAAGACACTCATGGTAATAATGCACTAATGACTATTGATAAAACATCACTGCAAAACATGTTTGAGTAATGTGACCTAGAATTTCTTTATATAAAACCGATGTTATCTCAAGATTAAATGTTCTTGTCAACGCGGTTTGCATGCTATATTGTAATTATTCTACATACTCTCATTTTAGTTTGCTATGTTGTACAATGGTCACATTCTATTCTGATTTCAATAATGTGTTAAAGCCATAAAATGTTGTAATGTTAATCATTGCTATTTTAGGGTATGCCAAGAACGCTCACAAAACAGATGACTACGTCATATTAGTATATTGTGTAGAGATGAACGAACTTCTTTCTTCTTCGGAACTCTACCATTGTAAGTTAATGCAAAGTAAATATTAATGTTGTAAACTATTTTTAAGTGGCGGATGAATCTTTAAAAAAAATGTTGAACCCCCCCCCCCCCCCCCCCGTCAGGAAATTTTCTAAAGATTGTCCTGATTTATTTCAAAATATTGTTTGTCATTTAAAAAAAAAGGTATTCATGACATTTCTTAAATATACTTTGTTAAATTAATTCACAACTTTACTTGTATCTGGTTTATTCAGACCTTGATATTTTGTATATACACTATATACCACATATTGACCTCGAGCTGTTTTTCGGGGTGGGATGATGTTCGTTAGGATATTGTCTCAATATAGTATATACGCCATACAGTATCTCCTATCGGTCATCAATAAATGATACGTGTTAAAACCAAATATGGAAAATATCAGCTGGATCTCACATGTAGGTTGAATAAAATATAGTTCATTTCATCTAACAGTCAGTTCGGCTATTCTGTTGTTCGTGTTCTTGTTTTTCAGTATCAAAAGGCATTGTAGGAAATACTCCCAATTTCAATAAGACTGTAAAATCTGCAAAATGATTTACAAATATACTATTTTTAAGTGGCGGATAAATCTTTAAAAAATTGTTGAACCCCCCAATTCAGCAACTTTTCTAGAGGATGTCCTGATTTATTTCAAAATATTATTTGTCATTCAAAAAAAAAACCAATGGCATTTCTTTAAGAGACATTGTTAAATTCATTGATAACTTTCCTTGTCTGTGGTTTATTCAGACCTTGATATATTGTATACACAATGTATACCGCATATTGACCTCGAGCTGTTTTTCGGGTGGGATGGTGTTCGTTAGGATATTGTTTTAATATAGTATAATACTCCATATCTCCTTTCGGTCATATCTACATATGATACGTGTTAAAAACAAATATGGAGAATATCAGCTGGATCTTACATGTAGGTTAAACAAAATATATTTGATTTCATCTAGCAGTCAGCTCGGCTATCCTGTTGTTGCTGTTCTTGTTCTTGTTTTTCAGTATCAAAAGGTATTGTAGAAATATTCCCAATTTAATTTAAGATTGTAAAATCTGCGAAATGTACAGTCTGACATTCTAGAGAATAATTCATATGTTTTTATTTGCTTAAAATCGTAAAATTAATGTATATAAAAACCGAGTACAATTTTTACATTTTCATGGAGAAACCATACTGTGTGTCTTGGAAAAACATTATATATATTTTCCAAGACTTGATTTAACTTTAAACAATATAATTTTATTTGCATTGAACATTTTTTTGTTTTTTTGTAATCAATAATAATTTTTTATCATTGTTCTTCTACTATTGAAATTGTCTTTAATGTATTATAATAGTTAATATATTAATGTAGTAAATGATATCTGAATACAATGATTGATGAAGAAATAGAAAAATAATTCCTATTTTCTCAATTTTTTTAATATTTGGTAAACATTTTCATATTCGATTTAAAAGATAATCGGGGAAATACTCAAACAACTAAGGACATGACTTGTATGCTTTGTCTGTGCATCTATTTATTTAATTACTTTAAAGCTGGTGGTTAAACTTTAAATTGAGTATGTAATATTGTCATGTAATATTGTCATTTTATTTTGATCTTTTTTTAGCACCAAACGCTGAGGACGTAGAAGCATTCAAAACTATATTAGATCACGAAATTCATAAGGTGGAGGCTAAGCTCGAAGAGTTTGGGGATTGCCTACAAAGATTAAAAGTAACGTGATCAAATGATTTTTAATTGTTTACATTTTTCATTATCTTAATGGTAGTTTTGATTTATGGCTTTAATATACTGATCAATTATGTCATAAAGCTGATTTATGCATTTTCTAAGTAGTTTATGTCATGTTTCTCTAAATAATCAAAGAAACGTGTACTTGAAAATCAATGTTTTGAGAAGTTGACAAATGTGGATTAATCACTGCCCTCGATTTGAATGTCTGAATACACGAGTCTTTCTGTAATATGAAATAACATCTTCTACATAAATGTCTCACTCCATTTTCTTTGAATAATTAATAAGCACGCTATGGTCTCGTCAATTGCAATACTGTATAAACATTTTGACAATGTTAAAACAAAAACGTTAACAAAAGTAAAGTTTATGGACGTTTTATTTCTACTTTATCCCAATGTTTAAAACTGTCGAAATGTATACCGCAAACAACAGATCGGTAATAAACTATTAAAGGCTAGCTCTATGATGTAATATTTCTCGTTTGGGAGTAATAGTTAAATTCCATGAGGCTGTTTTATTGAATAAAATGAACGATTTACCACTCTCTTACAGTATTAGGTCGTATACCATTCCATTAGCTTTTAACACAAAGAAAACAATATCTCTCCATCAAATAAAAGGAACGGCAAATATTTCGCAGTATAGTTTTATTCAAAGTATAGGAGCGTCCCCATATATCTCTTTGTCTTTTCTTGCTCCTCTGTTGTCTTTTGGCATACAGCGTTCACATTTTCAACTATACTGAAGACGAAAGAGAAGTGGTATACATGTAAATCATGAGACAGCAACACAGTTAGCAAACGTCATCAGTTTGTTACTGCAATGTGAAAAAGAAACACAATGAAATCTTACATACATACATATGAACAATTACCGAAAACATTTAATTGATTTAAGAATATTCAAACACATAATTTAGAACAGTACATGTATATAGCTAGGAAACATATACACATACATTACCGAAAATACGTTAAAGCAAATACTGCGTGCTTATAAGGGTGTTGATAGAGCTTTCTTACATTTCCACGAAAGGTACGAACGAACGTAAAGGGAGCACTTATTACATTCCCACGATAACACTGAGGGTCTATGTTTTATGCGAAAAACGGCATTCTTTTCTGAATCAAATGTATCTTTTAAAATTGAATCCTATCGCAAATAAAACACGCATTTAATATCTGAAAATAAAGAAAAATAGTTAAAAATACACTTACGTCCCGATACGTTGCTTATGTTATAACCACGATTACACACATTTTCGCGAGAATTTTCCAAGCATATTTTTTTTAAAATGTTTAAACCATTAACATTTTAATGAAATTCTAGCATTATGATACTCTCAATTTGACGACAAAACTCACAATAACTATCTTTAACTATTTAATTCATTAATATGCATGCAATCAACAAATAGTCAACGTGCATCATCGAGAATTGCCAGACAAAGAGACTACAATGAATAGACAAATTTATGAAAACAAATCTGGGAAAAGGAGAAAAACAAAGATTTTGTGGGGATGTTTTTTCCATTTATTTAAAGGCTAAAGGCTAAAGGTTAAACAGAAAATATTGCTGAACTTTTGATCGGATGAAACAAATGTAAAACGGAATAAAAACTAAAAGCCTCCTCCCCAAAAATATTCGTTTCCTTTGTATTCCCCAAATTATTTTTTTTCAACTAGTAATATCTTCAGTTTTAATGCTAGGTGCACGACTGATTTGATCATATTCTCTTAAATGTCGTCAACTGGTTAAAACCATTTATTAATTGTAGATCAACCAGTGATGCAATGCAAAGAAGTAACTTTTTTTATTATTTTTTTGGGGGACGTTGTAGTTGAGCACAATTTTTTTAAGGGTTTTTTTTCTGACGAGTTAATGTTTAGCAAATTTTGTTGAGTTGTCTCCTTCATCTTAGTTTTATTATTCTTTAACATCGAACGTCACAAAATTCCTATATCGCATGGAAAATTCAAGTTTGACATATGTTGTTGCATGCAGTGTAATGGTCCTCAATGTGCAAACATTGAGGCGAAACACCGTCTAATTCCTATGACAGTCTTGAATAATATTACATAAAAATAATTCAAAGGTCGAAACAAAGGATCCCGCAAACAGGTCTTACGTATGATTCGTCAAGCGTACGTACCTTTCGTCAAATTGTAAGACAGCTCTAATAAAATACAGGGTACGTGCATTCGATTGAAAGGCATAGTTAGACTGATACCAATACAAACCCTTTTATTGCAGTCATGAAATCGACTAAAAAGGCCACGAAATGTAACGAATGTATTGAATGTGTCCGTCAATCCGCCAGAGTATAGAACACAACAAAAAACGTAAAGCCTTGAGGTCGTACTTTTTTTTTATCATGTTTTGTTTGTGTTAGGGGATTGCATTTGGTTTCATATTCTTGATTTTGAAGCTATTGTAAACTAGTTCATGGAATGGTAAAATTTTTAATCACCATTGTCCTATTTTAGTTATGTATAAAGTTGAATTCTTTGATTCGTCGTTTTCACGTCATGCCGGCTAACAAATTGGACCTCGTTATTTTATATTAGTAGTATAGATATGAAGTTATATGAATTGACTGTAAAGATATATCATTTGACATGCATCAACCCATATTTCTTTGAGAGAATTGCAGTGATTCCCTTGAAATGACATCAATTATAATTCACAATTTCAGAAAAAAAATCTTGATAATTACTATCATGATAGCTGTAGTTCATTTCTTCTTTCAGTTGAAAGGCGTTGCTAAAAGTATTCAAGCATCAAAACCCGCCGAAGGAATTCTAAGAGTTGCAAAAGAAGAAAACGCCGCTTTGATAATAACCGGAACTAGAGGTCTTGGTAAATTACGGAGGACACTGTTAGGGAGTGTTAGTGATTATCTTGTTCATCATTCTAATGTTCCTGTATTAGTTTGCAGAACAAAAGAAGAGAAAAAGAAATGACCAAATAAATTCGTTTTATTTTGTACTTGTATTGACCAAAATAGTATTAAATGTTATAAAAGTTAGTATATGGTAAGAAATGTGAATAATGAAGATTTGCAGAGCAAGTTTTAAAAGAGTAACTTTGAAGTTTTTAATCATAAAATATTACGAAGAATTGTCCGAAAGATAAACATAGAGATTATAATATAACAACTTTATCTATAACTAAGACATGTATTAGATCATGTAAGCTTTATGATAAAAAGGTAGAGAAACATATCACTGTTTCGTAGCTAAATGTTTACTATTTGGAATTTATGTATTCTGAAGTTGTAAAAATTTCCAAATTTCCAAAATAATCAACAGAGACGGACAACTGCAGTAAACGCAGATTATTTCATTTTGCTTTTATTATAGAGAGTATTGCGCTTTAAAATTATCCAAACGAACCGCTTCATGATGTTTATTGTAACACAGTTATTCATTGACAAGTACACTTTTTTTTACTTTCCCCGACACGGCTGGAAATGAACCCGACATTGTCAGATTCTTCGTGTAAAAATGATACGCTTTCTTTTATTGTGACTCCAACCTTAATTGAGGATTGTCTGTTTTCCTGCCGAATGTCGGTGGTGGTTCTGTGGATCCGGGCACTGATCGCCACGAAAAAGCCAATAATGCAGAAAGTGGTGTTAGACACCAATCAATCATATTTTTATGTTAAACAATCTGCTCTTTGTTAAACATGTACTTCTGCACGTGTTTAAGATACATTTGTAGGTGTACTTTCTATCCAACATGTCTGATAAATTTATTAATCGCAATAAATTACAGTACTTTTAGGTAATCGTAGATATATTTTATAACCCGCCATTTCAAGATTTTCAAAGTTATTCTATGGCTATTGTATGTTCTGGCATATAAAAACGTTCATTTTATTCGCTTCTGTTCTTGTCTTCATTTTTTCACTGGTTGTGGTTTCATAAACAACAAATTAATAGCGATAAATATTAACAACAAAACGAAAGTAATATTACATAGTTAAAGATATATAGTTTGAAGAATTGACAATTACAGCAAATGTTAATACGCAGTCAAAGGGAGTTAAGTCATTTGTATTTATCCTACAAGCGTAATAATAGCTAGAATATAGAGTATAAATGGTGTTTTTTTCCCCTTCAAATGTGATCAATTGAGCTTACTTTAGTCTTGTAAACATCTACTTTTCATGTGTTTGTCTATACCAGATAGATTTGAACTGTTGTCGATTTCCCAAAGTAAAATAATTTTCAACAATGCAGCTCATGATTGGAATACGGAGAAGTGGTATGACTGCCAATGAGACAACTATTCACCAAAGACCAAACGGAAAAGATGTGAATACCAATAGGGACGCTATACGATCTTAAACTTTTACAAATGTACCAACACTTTTTCTGTATTGAAAGCAATTCAAGGCCCCAGAATGACACAATGTGAACCAAATTCAAAGAGAAAATTAACGGTCTAATATATGCTAACAATGAATACATGAAAAACAATTATGCAAAATTGCACCCAGGGAATACCACTGGATAATTAACAGACTGTTCAATATGTTTGTGGGCGCTCAACCCTCCATCAAACCTGGGAAAGTGGTGTGACTGTAAAATTCAGTTAGTGGCTTAACTTATTAGGACGATACTGGGCACAAAACAACATACAAAATTACACAAGACACAAATTATCAACCTAGGAGTACTCCCATTTAATGGAAGCTACTTCAAAGTCCAATGTAAGATCACTATAATAAGTTTTGATAACACTTATATGTTTTCCAGAAGCAATTGCGATAATACATATATCTCTCGAAAACAAAATATACCTGTACCGATGTTAAACAAAATGAGTGTTTCAAATTTTCATTATGTATTGTATATTTCATTAAACAATTGATGAACCATTTATTACTTTGTTTGTTTGTAATAGACTGAACAATAGACGTTGACTTTTTTTTATGCGTACAAACAGATTAACACAGTCTTTCCTGTTATGTCTGTATTTTTGATATTTGTGCTGATGCGGTTTTTTGTACGAGGTGGTATTTTGGATAATAGAATAGAGAATGGAAACGTGGAATGTGAAAAAAGAGACAACAACCCAACCAAAGAGCCGAAAAACAGCAAGCACAAGGCCACCAATGGGTCTTTAATGCAGAAAAAAAAATCTCGCACCCGCAGGCGAGCTTCAGCTGGTTACTGAACACTCATGTATACTTGTTCAGCGAAATGGACTCAACACTAAACTCCGAAACATACAAATGAACCAAAATTTCAAAACACACAAAACTAACAAAGGCTAGAGGTTTTAGACTTAGGACAGGCGTAACATGCAGCGGGGCTAAGATGTTTTGTGAGATCCCCCCTACACCTTTAGCCAATATGGAATAAACAAACACGCAGCCGGCAATACACGCAGTAAAACTCAGTTTAAAAGAAGTCCGAGTCCGATATTAGAATAAGTAACAGAAGAATCTAAGGAATTGGAGATCGCGTGCAGTCATAGATGTGGCATTATATTAGAAAACCATAATTTTTGAATGCCTCGTGAAAAGTGTCTGCCAAAAAAAATATTAAATCTTATGAAGCATGTTATGTATCATGATGTCTTAAGTGTCCTGAAAAATACTTACTTTTACTTTGACTTCGGTATGAGCTTACTAACCAGTTGGAACTATTAGTTTCAAAATGTTTTTGATTTTTCTTTACAACAGTTTTATTAAATATGATGTCCAGTGAAGTTCATACTTGTTTACGTCAATTTCAGATTTGTTCAGGTACGGTTCATACTTGATCATATACAGTTGATACTCGGTGAAGTATGGTACATATTCACCCGCGTACAATTAAGACCAGCACTAGATACGGCAAACATTTTGGGCGAGTATTGTTCAATGGAGTAGAGTACATATTATTTGAAAATGTATGTATTTTGTTTTAAAAAGTCGAGTGGAAAAATTGAAGGCCATCCCTGAAACAAATATACCGCGCACCTAGATCGTTTGCAAAGGTTTATTTATCTAGGATGAAGTGAGTCCAGTTTAGTTCTCTCTGACGAATTAAATCAAATATTAACACTAACTAAGTAAGACATGTCAAGATTGGTTGAGTAAATGTGACAGCAGTATATTACAAATAGCGTTTTATTCTTCCAGGTTCGCTGTGATATGTATGTATCCACCTTCACCACTCTAATACTGAGATCGACAAATGCCTATGGTTGAACAAAAACTGATTACTCTTCATTAGGATATTAAAACACTCCTGGTGTTTTGATTTTGGTGTTCAATATAGTCTCTGTGGAATCGTACTTACCTGTTCGTCTTTTTTTCCGTTAGCAATAGGTATGCGTCTTTTCTCGACTTATTAATTTTCTCTGCGTTTCAAACGTCGAAAGCAGGTATAGTAGCTGCTTCACTCCATCTGTCCGTCTGAAAGAAAAATTTCGCCAAGATTCTCATCACTTCTTTGACATGGAAAGATTTCATATTTGGTCTGTAGCTTGATAATGTTGTGTAGTATCACGTGAGCAATTATTACGTCAGCCGTATAGCCATTTAGTACGAAAGCCTATTAGGGTCACAAAAAAAAATATTTATCTCGTCATTATGAGATAAATATCTCGTAATTACGAGAAAACTATCGCGTAATTACGAGAAAACTATCGCGTAATTACGAGAAAACTATCGCGTAATTACGAGATAATCATTTTTTATCTCGTAATTACTAGATAATTATCGCGTAATTACGAGAAAATTATCTCGTAATTACGAGAAAACTATCTCGTAATTACGAGATAAAATTACATATACAAGTCTAAATTGAAAACAACGTTCAAACCTATGATTGCGTTGGATAAAAACCGCAATTTTTATACGTGTGCATGTAAAAAAAATTTCTTGGTAGAGGGGTCTAAATACAGCACAAACAACATTTTCCAAAAGACCAAAAAGTGAAAAGTATATTTTAACAAAACGCATTTGACTAACAGGTCGAACAACTGATGTTCTTAAACCCTGCTGACTGCCATTGGCGATTGCCAAATAAATTGATCACCAGATGTAACATGGATCTTAATTATTCAAACAGAAAACAATAAACTTGCGGAAAAGATGGTATATCGCAAACATAAGGTGCAAAAATTTGTACACCATATCCGGATTTCGACAATTAATGTCTCTTCAGTGATGTTAGGGATCGAAACGGTATTTGGAAGGCCATATAATTTACCTCAATTTAGGATAGACTCTTGAATTTTAAAGAGTCGAAATAGGATGAACGGATCATATAAACCCGAAGGAAAATATAATACAAGCCCAAACGAAAAAATATAAACAAGTCTAAATTGAAAACAACGTTCAAACCTATGATTGCGTTGGATAAAAACCGCAATTTTTATACGTGTGCATGTAAAACAAATTTCTTGGTAGAGGGGTCTAAAATATATATATATAGATATACAGATCATGATTACCCTTCCGGGGCACCTGATAAAACGCCCGTTTTTATTAGCTCAACTGACCCAAAGGGTCAAGCGATCTTTTCCCATCACATGGCGTCCGTCGTCCGTCGTCGTCCGTTAACTTTTACAAAAATGTTCTCCTCTGAAACCACTTGGCCAAATTGAACCAAAGTTGGCCTTAATCATCCTTAGGGTTTCTAGTTTAAAAAAATGTATCCAAAGACCCCGCCCACCAACCAAGATAGCCACCATGGCTTAAAATCGAACATAAAGGGGGGATGGGGGGATAAAATGTAGTTTATGGTTTATATCTCTGAAACTAAAGCATTTAGAGCAAATATGATAGGGTGAAAATTTTCACACGAGTCAGACTTCCCGTTGTTTGGATGCTGCCCCTGAATTTGTAATTTTAATGATTATTTTTCAATTTTTGGTTATTATCTTGAATATTATAATAGAAAGATATAAACTGTAGGAGCAAAAATGTTTAGCCAAGTAAGATCTACAAATAAATCAAATGACCAAAATTGTCAATTGACCCATCAAGGAGTTATTGCCCTTTAAAGTCATTTCTGCAATTAAGTAAATTTTTTTAATCTTTTACAAAAATCTTTCTCCTCTTAATCTACTTGGCCAAATGAATTTTTATCTCGTAATTACGAGATAGTTTTCTCGTAATTACGCGATAGTTATCTCGTAATTACGAGATACTTATCTGGTAATTACGAGATAAAAAACTTCTTATCTCGTAATTACGCGATAGTTTTCTCGTAATTACGCGATGATTATGTCGTAATTACGAGATAAAACAATGATTATCTCGTAATTACGATATAATTATCTCGTTATTACGAGATAAAACTATGATTATCCCATAATTACGAGATAAAAATCTCGTATGACGCGATAATTATCTCGTAATTGCGAGATAAAACAATGATTATCTCGTAATTACGAGATAAAAATTTTTTTTTTTGTGACCCTAAAAGGCTTTCGTAATTTAGTGTTTGCCGATAGTTTGAAATTCTATAAGGACAATTTTCGTCAATCTTTTCTTAGTTTGTATTGAAGGGAAGGATTCTATATCTGGAGATTGATAATGTTGTGTTGATGAGTGTAAGCAATTTTTTTTTAAATGCCGTGAAACCACTTTCCGTAAGCCGATAATTTGAAGTGTTACAAGGAAAATTTCGTAAAACTTTTCTTTGCTTCTATGGAAGGGAATAATCATTTATGCTCCATTATACATGTTACCTCGTTCAATACGCTTGATTCCAGTCGTTATCTTTCCGTCAAAATGTTTGATTTTAAGTGACACTATTTGACGTCATTTGTGCGTTTGTTGGGCTAAAATCTACATCAGTACGTTGAGCTAAGAAAAGAAGATTCTAATGGGGATAACTTCCTTATGACTGCTTCGATAACTGTTTTTAAATGATAAAATTAATATATTTCTATAGGCAGTGTTGGATTATGTACATAAGAATAAAGACGGGTGTTTAAAAAATGTCAAGCAGTCACAAATACTTTATCAGTTCAAAGATGCAGGGATCGAGTTAGCCCATAAAACGTTTAAACGAGGTGAGAAATCAGAGTATAGTAAAAGAGTATTTCTCGTAATGGAAATGATATGGATCAAACGTATTGTATGTAGCGCCGCATGTGTATACCCGCTATCGGTCTTGTTATTGCATGATGTAAATTGACTCCTTGATAATAGCAACCACAAAATGAATAGCATGTTGCGTTAGGGAACTTGAAACAATTATACATAAACTGCGGGTGTTACAGTGATAATCTTCTGCTGCTGTGTTATTTTAATCAAAATCTTTGGTAGTACTACATATATATCTAAGTCCTAAGAAACCCAATAACAAGCAGCTTACATGGATAACACATTGTAAATGCATGACAGTGTTTTGCACAGTATATAAAATGGTAACCTTCGCTAAATTTTAGATACCAATAGAAAATATGACACATTATCATTAATTTATTTAAGTAACAGTACAGAAATTTTTTTTTGTTGACATTTTGTCTATCGTAAAATCTTAAATTGATATACATGATATATTCGGATATCTCCGTGGAAAGGATAAACACTGTTCATCAAAACCAGAAGTGTCTTGACTTAAATTCTAATTGAATCCTACGTTCGCTCTCTTACAAGTTTATAAGTTTGAGTTTCTATTAGACATTGTATTATTTTTATTAGTACAATTCCTTTGAAACTGGGAAATAAAATTGGAAAAAGTGCTTTAACATCAAATGACTTTGATAGAGTTTCTTTTTTAACTGAAGCAAAAATCACTTTATCCGACACATAACTCACGATTTCAGACGAACAAATTTTGATGGAATTACCTTGTAATAAGTTTAACCCATTCAATTCTAATACATTGACATGATATTTATATAATATCAAATTTTGACTTGCCAGGAGGTGCCACTAATACAGCAGGATATGCTTACTCTTCGATTCACCCGAAATCCTCCCTCCCAAGTTGTGTTGTATCTTTTGTCTCTTTTTAATAATACTGGTACTTTCATAGTTTAATAAAATTGAGAATGGAAATGGGGAATGTGTCAAAGAGACAACAACCCGACCATAGAGCAGATTTGCATTCAATATTGTGCAGTAAAACAATCAGCAATCACTTGAGATTAAAGAATGACACATCTGTTCCTACTTGTATTCAAAAGTAAAATTTATTATATCGATATTTGTCTTGTCGGTCTGTTTGCATTAATTTGTGAATTTAATGAGCATTGATATAAACTTGTCAAAATGAGTGAAGACAATCTGATCAACTCCGAACAATAAATAAAACCTTCAATCAGCTAGAATAGACACTTCAATGTCATTTACATAAGTGATTGACAACTTAAGCAATTCCATTATGCATGTTAGTTAGCGTATTCTTATGTTAACCTTTATCAATTGACTATGATATAAATGTATGAACAATTGTATGCAGTGCAATGAGTTATATAAATGTGTACATTAAACAATAGTAAGTGTTTATAAAGCTCGTTTTTACATTGTCATACTGTGCGTCAAAACTGATGCTTTGTTTATAACTTTCTAAAACAAAATTCAAAACAGAAAACTAAGCTATCTACTTAACCTTTTAATATCAAACAAAAACAATTATGGCGGATGGCAAGTCACTACACTATGCTCAATGCGCTTCAACTTCGAACTTTATTTTGCCTTTTAACTTTTTCGAGCGCCACTGATTAGACTTCTATAGACAAAACGCGCGTGTGGCGTACACAATGTCAAGCCTGGTATCTATGATGAGTGTATATACTACTGGCTGAAAACAGGTACATGAATAGGCACATGAAAAAAGTCGTGTAGTTAAACGTGTTTGTTAACGCTGAACACCTTTACCTGTGACAATAAGTTAACGTACAAATAAAACCTACGGGTAAATTTTTGTTTTAAACAGTTTTAAGAGTTGAACAGGGCTTTGCTCATAAGCACAAAATTAATATTTAAAATGGCAAGAGACACAAACAACAAAGGACATATGCAAGAGTCAGTCTTAGAAACCCATGTATCATCCTTTTTTCCAAACTACTACTTAAGGTGATGAGACAATAATTGAATTTTGCGTCAAGATATATCGATACGATGGTAAACATGATGATTGAGTTTATCCCATAAGGATATCACCGTTATAGTTCATTCGCCGCATAACTAGGAATTGACGATGGTTGCCTAGGACTAAACTTTACAACATGACAAATGACTTCCAGTTGTCATTGTACATAGAGCAAAATTTCGTTAGCATCATTATAAAGAGAAAAAAAGTGTAACAAAATTACTGAACTCCGAGCCAAATGTAAAAAAGGGGAAATCCATAAAGACTGACAAAATCAAACGCTATTAATGAACGAAACAATATATATCGCATATTTAATACAACTTTCCAGGGGCATTGATTAACGTAAGAATTGCGTCGATTAAATAATCTCATTGGACATTTTAAGAACATTTTGACTTGCTTGAGCAATATCGAACATATGTCGGAGACGAACATGAGAAAATGCAGTATGATTGCAGTTGAACCAACTATCCATTTGAAACTGACAAACGAATGGACATTTTAGTGAACAAATAACTATAACGTTTGTCGTTGACAATATTCTGTACACATTTGTTGGTTTATCACTCGTTACCGATTGGCACTTATAACCAGATTTTTAATTTTCATAAGCAAATGTAAGCATGAGTTATGTACCCATCCTCAACACCGGAAATCCTCTTGGGTTTAGGTGCGATAAATTAGTAAAAATAAGTACATAATATCAAACATGTTGTTTTGAACAAAATCAGTTATTATAATAACAATATTAAACAACTGACTAGATGGAGACAGTTTAATTTAATGTAAGGCCTCTTAATCAATATTGGAGTTTACCACCTAGAATATTTATTTTTTATTTTTCTGAGTTAACTATTTGAAGAATTCTTCCAGTCAGGCAGTTTTGAAAAAATAAATTCTGTGTTGTCATTATGTTTGTGTATGTGTTGTGACAAAAAAAACCAGGAAGATAAGTTTGTACAGTATATAACATTTAAGGTGATTGATACAGTTAAATGTTGATGGACACTTACCAATAATGTTCATACCCTTAATAGTGATCATAATTTAATGGTATGTGTCAAAAATTAAATGCATATTTGGTAGTGTCCTCATTTTCTAGAAGTAAACAAATATATAAACATGAGACCCAACACCTACAATACCAAAACATAGTCTGTAATGCACCAAAATTATACAAAAAGTATAATTCTCATCAAATGTAACACATATACAAATACTAATATAATAGATAAATATATCATAAAAGGTGTGTTATTGTTCAAGTAAATCAACGCTGTATGCAGTAGTAGTAACTTATAATTAGAGCTACATTGCAAATTATGGAAGTCAGATAGACCATTTTGGCCTTGTCAGTATTTCGTTCAACTATAAATAGCAAATCATGTGCTTTTAAACATGTGTTTTTGTTTACAAATAGGATAATAATATTGTTAACCAGCACATGTTTATTAATCGACTTATAGATTACGAACTGTTAGAAGTATTCCCTGTGCGTATGCTTTGTTTTTTTGTCTGCTTCAGAAAAGCAGGTGGTATCTTAACAGATGTATTCTCTTAGGTAGTCGTCTCGACTGAGATTGTATTGATACTGATGGTGCCGCCGATGGCGGGTTGCAAGTCACTACACTATACGCAATGCTCTTCAACTTCGAACTTTATTTTGCCTGTTAACTTTTTCGAGCCCACTGATGAGATTTCTATATACAAAACGCGCGTCTGGTGTACATAATGTTAAGCCTGGTATCTATGATGAGTTTATATATACTACTGGCTGAAAACAGGTACATGAATAGGCACATGAAGAAAGTCGTGTAGTTAAACGTATTTGATAACGCTCAATCCTTAACCTGTGTCAATGGCGATAATACATTGGTTGACTGTATTAGAATATTTGTATCACAGATGACCACGGATATGTTTCTTTTGTCCTATTTACAACCCCAGCTTCATTTCCTCTTTATGAAATCGTCGAATCTAACTAAAATGTGTCACTGCAAGAAATTTACTTTATCAACACGACAGGTTCCACTAGTAGGGCATGCACTGATTATCTTTCCGGGGCACCTTGGTTTTGGTTGACGTCATCTTACTCAATCTTTAGTTTTCTGCAATGTGTTTGTGGATTGCTATTTCTCTATCCTTTTTATTTCTTTCGGATAAGTTGTTGTTTGTCTTTGTTCGACATAGTTTTTGATTGCTGCATTCTTCCGTTTTACCTAGGTATAGATAGTCTTAGCCTAATTGTGACAGACACAATTTTTTTGCCAATGCTTTCCAACCTCTTTTATGAATTGACTTTTCAACTGTTTTCATTCGAATGCCACTGATGAGTCAAGTGCCAGTCTTTGTAAGAATCAGGCAATTTAGACAAATTTCAAAACATGGCCGAAAAAAAACCCACCGACCTAACCATTCTATTTTGAAGTTACCCTCATCCTGAGTTAGAAATGGGGTCTTTCGTTTCTGCTTGTCTGGTAACTCGAAAAATCTCTAGATAACTTTTGGTTAGAATGATAGCAAATTACGGAGTTAGCTCCCCTTAATTGTTAATTTCTAGTGCATTTCAACCAAATTATGACTTGAATTACCAAAACAGGAAAAGGAAACGAATGTTATATTCGTGCACCATTATACAATTTGAACACAAATTAATGTCAACTTGAGTGGGTATTTGCTTGTCATGTTTTCACCACTGCCTAATTCTTAGGCAGATTGGCACTTGATGTAGACAAAACGTTTGCCATATACGATTTCAAGTCTGGTGTATTACATGATTATTAACCCCCAGATAAAGATCACATTAGCCATATTTGGCACACAATTTAGGGATTTTCATTTTGTATTTATTCTTTAACTTCGTATTTAATTAGGCCTTTTTAACTGTTTCGATTCAAGGTCCACTTGTGATTCTTATAAAGACAAAAAGCGCATCGAGCGAACCAAATTATAAGCATGGTATCTTTGAAGATTTTCAATTGTTACTAAAGAAATAAAAAAAAGAAAAAAACATCTATTGACATGTAACTTTTATTACACCTGGGTTTTTTCCGATGAGAAACACAATGTGTGGAACATGATCTGCTCAACCTTCTGGCGAACTTGGTTTAACAGGTACCTTGTTTTGTTGCTCAAACTTAAATTGATTGTGAAAATGGAATTGCACTGCTGATATTGATACCTTAAGTCGTGATCGATATGATAAAATGATGAATATTCTTTTGTCAAATCTTCATTACATTGTACAATGACAGTTTCAACGCTTTTTTAGACAAGCAATAAAAAACCAATAATTATTAGATGTGTTGCTACCATCGTATTCCTATAGTTGCAATGTAACAAATATTCATAGTATTCCTAACTCTTTTGAATGATTGGCATTCATGTTGTTTTTCATTGATGAAGGCAACACTGATTAGATTATTTGGGAAGTTGACTTACATAGACTTCACTACCGTACTTTGTCATGGCCAATGTAAACACATACTGTAGTATTGTAAATTCAACTACAAAGAAAGAAGGAAAAACAGTCATAATTGCTTATGACGGAAGTGACTATGCCAAGTACGCAATGAAATGTAAGTAATTTATTCAATTAGATAATATTTCATTTGTGAGGATATACCTAGAACAACATTTACACAATAGTAATGATAATATTTTATCAGTATCAACTGCTAATTACTTGTTTTATACTGTACAGTTTATATCTTTAATAAAACAGAGTTATACAGCTTTTGTAAGTCATTTTTCATTTAATTGATGAAAAATGTTAACTTTAAAAATAACTTTTAAATATTATAATCTTTTATTTCACGTGGTTGTAAATGCTTCCCCAACTTGTTACATGGAAAACACAAAATCTACATAAATTATTCGCGATGTTTTTTTGATGATGATGATGATGATGATGGTGATAGATGGCTGCTTAACGTCCAGCGGCAATTTTTTTTTTTAATTTAACATTAAATCGATTTTTGTTTTGCTACTGGCTAACATAAATGTCAGATAATCATAATTGTTATGCTTTTTTTACTGCCTTCTTTACTTGTATGTATTCAATAAAAACATCTCAAAGTTTGTAAACAGATCTAAATGCCATCAAAGGAATGATTGAGAATATTTAATTACTGAGTTATAATTAAATCGATGTCTTTTCCATCCTTTGATATACGTCACCAGTTTTCCTTTTCTTAACTTCAGAGATGGTTTTACATTTCATTTATCAAGACAGAAAACATTTCTATGATCTTTGGTTCCAAATTTTTTTTAACCATAAAACATCCTTCTGTAGATTTAATATGAAAATTAAATGCTTCAAGTGTAATAGGTATGGCCACAAACTAAAATTTTGTACTGCTTGAAAAAATGGCAAAGAAGAAAATGCCAATTTTACATCTGTTTCAAACAAATTTGATGTACTGACAATATTATGTTCTGAATGCAATTTATTTCCATGCATGTGTAAATTATTTTCTTTGTCACAAGGGCTTCAGATTTCTGAGATAAAGAAAACTAGAAACACTAGAAAAACAATTAAAGAAAAGAATGAGAGTCATTTCTCACTTGACACAACCCAGGAAATGTCTACTGTCAAACTTTATAGTTCTAATGATGGGTTGATTAGTTCTGATAATTTTAACACTGAATCTCAGACATCTGGACAGGATACATTACTTGGTATTAAACAGCATGATACAAACTGTGTAATGTTTGATGATGGGTCTAATGTAGATAATTTTTTGTTACCTCTCCCTCAGGTCAACATAATGATTGATGTGAAATTATCCTATGTCTCTGTATTTACTTTAGCAATTATTGTTTGTATATATTATCTAATCAATTTAGAAAACCATGCATTGACAGGGAAACAAATAGACTCTAATGATAAGATTTTTAATTCTTATGGTTTTAGTAAATCCAAAGGTATAAGGATTTGTTCTCATAATGTTAATAGGATTGAAAGTAAATATGAAGAAATTAAACATAACCTTATGTTTTCTGATAACCAACCTGATGTATTAGGATTGTGTGAAACATTTTTAACAAAACACACTACTGATAATGAATTACAAGTACCTGGTTATGTATTTGAAAGAAAGGACAGAACATCACAAGGTGGGGGTGGTCTGATTGTTTATTTTTCTGAAACAATTAAATTTTTAAGAAAAAACAACATCGAAATAGGGGGTATTGAAACAATGTGGGTTGAAATTAAACCAGATTACAAAAAATCCTTTTTATTATGTTTTGTGTATAGGCCACCAAAGTCACTGATAGATTGGGTTGATGATTTTGAAAAAGAAATAAGAGTGGCAATGACCATGAATTCAGATATAACAATTATGGGTGATTTTAATTTTAATTTTAAAGCACCAAACAAACCTCCTCAAAAATGGCTGAACGTTTTAAAATCGTACAATTTTCAACAACTGATTGTAGATGCCACAAGGGTAACAAAAGATTCTAGTACATTGATTGATCATATTTATGTCAATAATCCAATTATGGTACATGAATCACATGTGTGTAGATATGCAATTAGTGACCATTACCCTATCTGTTTAACAAGGAAAGAAGCAAATATAGGAAAAAAGAATACACACAGTACAATTACTTATAGAAATTTCAAAAATTTCAACCAAGATGAATTTTTATTAGATCTGCAAACTACACCTTTTCATAAAATTGAATTTGAAGAAAACCCCTCTGACTGTCTACAATTGTTTTATGATATGTTGAACAAAGCTTTAGATAAACATGCTCCTGTTGTTAAAAAGAGAGTAAAAAGGGACAGACAGCCTGAATGGTATAACAGTGAAATCATTTACGCTAGGAATATGAGAGATAAATATAATGCACTTGGTTTATGGAGTGAGTATAGATTTTGGAGAAATAAAACTAAACATATCATAGATAGCTCAAAAAAGAATTATTATAAAAATATGGTAAAAGACTCCAATGACCCTAAAACTTTATGGAAATGTCTTCACAGTCTGAACCCAAAAGTTAAAAATACACCATATGAATTAGCCACAGAAGATAACAATACAACTAAAAGTAAAAAATCAATAGCAGAAACTTTTAATAACTTTTTCACTTCCTGTGCTGAAAAATTAAGAGAACAAGGAAGTTATACACCTGTAAACAAAGCAGATTTCAGTAATCTTGGTAAATTTGTTAAAAATAAATTACATAAACATGATAAATTTTCTATACCACCAGTGATCATGAATGAGCTATTTAATGAGTTAACAAAACTTGATATAGATAAAGCATCTGGTATGGATAATATAGGACCAAAAATCCTAAGATTAAGCGCCCCTGTTATTGCATCACCTCTCACATACATATTTAACAGAATGATAGATACTGGTATATATCCTTCTTTACTGAAGAATGCTAAGGTAACACCAGTTTTCAAGGATGGTGACAAGCTTTTAGCAACAAATTACAGACCTATATCTGTTCTTCCAACTTTATCAAAATTAATAGAAAGGCATGTTTCTAATAACATGTACAAATACTTATCTAAACTTAAACTTTTACACCCTACACAATCTGGTTTCAGGCCGCAGCATTCTTGTCAAACTGCACTTATTAATATCATTGACAAATGGTTGCAAGAAATGAATGATGGTAATTTAAACCTAGCAATTTTATTAGATTTTAAAAAAGCTTTTGATTTGGTAGATCATGACATTCTTTGTTTAAAGCTTGAAATTTATGGATTTAGTGAGGCTTCTGTTAGTTTTTTCAAGTCATACCTGAATAACAGAAAACAGCAGGTAAACATTTGTAATGTTTACTCTGAACAACAACATGTAAAATTTGGTGTCCCCCAAGGTTCTATACTTGGTCCTCTATTGTTTGTGCTATTTATAAACGACCTTCCCTTATGCATTGAAAATTGTGAAACAGACCTATATGCTGATGACACCACTCTTCATAAATCAGGGAAAAACATAGAAAATATACATGATGATGTTCAAGAAGATTTATACAGGGTTGAAGAGTGGTGCAAAATGAATAACATGTTCATTAATGCAAATAAAACAAAATGTTTGGTTACTGGAACAAAGCAGAAACTATCAATTCAGACTTATCAACCAAACTTAATAATAGATTCAAAAGTATTACAAAATTCTTCATGTGAAAAATTATTAGGTGTTAAAATTGACAGCACACTTAACTGGAGAAATCAAATTGACCAAGTTTGTGCTAATATATCATCCAGAATATACCTCCTTTCTAAAATAAAGAAATTTTTAGATATAAATGCAAGGAAAACATATTACAATGGGTATATTCTGCCCCTGATTGACTACTGCTGTATTATTTGGGGTGAATGTAAAAATGAAGGGATAGCAAGAATTTTAAAACTCCAAAAAAGGGCAGCAAGATTAATTCTAGATGCAGTTCCTTTATCCCCCTCAGCCCCCTTATTTAAAGAACTTGGGTGGATGACAGTTGACAATAGAATAAAATACCACAAATATTTACTTCTATATAAATGTATGCGTATGGAAGCACCAATGTACCTAGTTCAAAAGTTTAAACTGAAATCAGATAATAATCCTTACTCCCTGAGAGGCGTCACTCAAGGTAATCTGATAGTTCCTAAGCCAAAATCTGAGCTATTTAAGAAATCTTTTGTTTATTCTGGATCAGTGTTATGGAATGGACTACCAAACAAAATGCGTAAAGCTCAAAACACTTATACTTTTAAACAAAGTATCAAGAAGTACTTAACACAGTCCTGATAAGATTATGTTTTCTACAATGTATTTGTATATTCTTTTATTTATATTTGTATTTGATTTTTTGAATACATGTACATCTTGAACAGCCTTATATCTTATCATGTTAGTAATATTACATTGAACTAATTGACTGTAAATTAACTATGTGTAAATATCTGTTTTTTTATTGTATTGTAATTTGTATGTGAGGGCCTCAGGGAAGATTAGTTTATTGTAACTAACTGAGTTTACCCTCTTTAAATAAAGAATTTATTATTATTATTATTATAAATGATTTCTCACACAAAACTGTTTCTCTTTTTCATTTCTGCAATCATGTAACATATATTTCTATTTTGTTTACACATAATGTCAAAATTAGAACAGAACTAACTTTATATAAATAATATGTTTACTGCTAATTACTTCTTGTGTATACATGTATATATATGTTGTTTGTTTTCCCGTGTGCATTTGCTACCAACAGTCAACAGTCAATTACCATTATTACCTTGTAATATGTATACAATAAAATTTATTTATAAACTCAATAAGTCAGCTAGGATATAGAGTATTCATGATAATGTGTCATTCTTGTATGTGCCAAGGCTGCTTAAATAGATGAAATCATACAGTGGCTATAAAAAAGTTTTCTAGCAACTCCATATCGACCATATTGTATCATTAAAAATGGACATATAATTGATAATCAATAATTTGATGGGTATTTATCTTTTCGACGTTTTTTTCTTTTGATTGGTTTTGTTTTCTATTTTTCTCTCTTCGGTTTGTTATATTTTAAAAAACTGTCTTCTTGGTATGTTCATCATTTGTTTGTCTTAGATTTTCTTTATATCCGTTCTATTGATTACTTGTAAAAAAGGATCAACGTATTAATATCAATAACATTTTACAAAAAGATAAAAACCTCTTGCCATTTGTTTACATATAGTGTTTTAATGGAACAAGATAAAAGTATGATTGAAAAAGATGAATTTGTAGTCTGTATTGGTTTTTTTCATAAATAAGTCATGTGTGTCCTTAAATTGAACGAGTGACATAAACTGGGAACAAATGGTAGATTTAGTAAATAATCTAGTGACAGATAATTTTTGCCTAGTTCATTTAGAAAAAAACTAGTATTTTAGTTTATCTACAAGTTATTTTTAGATAATTTGGTACATGTTAGTCTTTCTTCTTACTCTCTGCCAAGTTAGTTTACTAGAACGGCTGTTGATCACATGGACAGTAATATTACTTGTTTATTTGTAGTAAATTCTAATATTTGAGTGTACATGTATATGTCATTAAATTGTTGCAGAAGCGGATTTAATCCTAGATTAGTTAACTTCCCTCCCTTTAAAAAATAATTGCCTATGTTTTTTTTCATTTTCATTACCGATTTAGAGATAGTTTTAACTCTGTTGATAATAATGCAATGTAAGACTTATGATAGTAGAAAACAAGAACAAAATAAAACAAAAAACAGCACAGTCTGTTGTATACATACGTGAAAGGAAATGCAAACCAACGACACAAAATATGTCTCTCTGGATTATTGTTATACTCTCTGTTCATTATAATAACTGTTGATTACGCGTACAGTATGTTTTCTTGTTCACCTAAAAAAATATACTATTTGAGTGTATATAAAGTGCAACGAACAAAGCATTACCGAAAATATTGAATTCAATGCCCTTCATCTTCGATCTGCATTCCTAATTGTAATTCTTTGGTTTTCCATATATCAATATTCTTTCGTTAAACATATCCTCTTCGATTATCATCCTCTTGATCAGGATATTGTATTCTATTTTTCTTTGCGCTTGATATCTTTAGCTGTCTGGTGTAATATAGGGAATATCGTCTGCGAAGCCCAAGAGTTCAATCTGATTAAAATAAAGATCATGTGTCCAAGCTTTACTTACAAGGAAACGACAACATTCCGTTTTACGTTTTGTTCTGTTAATTATTACATCAGCCAGTGAAATTTAAGCCTTCTAATTTTTGAAGGTAGGTTTTAATCCGATAAAACCAAAAGATCCCGAAACGTCTTTAAAAACAGAATGTTGAAAATAGCGTTTTCATATCCTTGTAAGCAAAGCTTGGGCACAGGGTTTATATTCTAACAAGATTGACAAGAACTAGTTCCCAAATATCATGTATAATAAAGGACGATCACACCCAATTTATACAAAGCATTTTCTGCTCATTATCTTGGCATTACTTTTGATTCCAATCGTTCAATCTTTCAAACTTTTGTGTTATTATAGGCCAAAAAAAATCCATCAGTACGTTTAGCAAAGAGGTTTAAAAAAGGCAACAGTAGTAGTATACCGGCGTTCAAAAGTCATAAATCGACTGAGAGAAAACAAATCCGGGTTACAAACCAAAACCGAGGGAAACACATCAACTATAATAGGAAAACAAAGGAACATCAGGAACAATGAAGTGTAACAAAAACAAACGCCAACATAAATAGAAACGAACCATTTGACAACAACTGCCACATTCCCGACTTGGCACAGGACATTTTAAGAAAAAAATGGTGGGTTAAACCTGGTTTTATAGCTAGCCAACCTCCCGCTTATATGACAATGTTAAAAAATATCGCTAAAATGACAACACTACGTTAATATTTTAATTCGAAGAGTTTCAATCTCGCGAACAATATTAATGTGATAGATAACTAATAAAATCATATTTCTGTAGGTTGTGCTGCATAAAAAAATGTTCATATGAATACAAAGATTCTTGAACAATTTCAATTGGCAACAATTAATGACCATTTCATTTCATTTTCGCTGCAGTTTGCTAATAGATTACGGCGACAGTAGTTTGCCCATGTTAAAATTGAATGCTTAAATGACGTAAAAAAAATCAGCATAGTCCAAGTTTTCTCTAATGGAAGTGTTTTCAATCAGGCTTTTGTATATAAATAATTCTTTTGAAAAAAAATAACAATTTTGCAGGCACATCTATTCGTAACTTGATGTTCATCAAATGAGTTTCACTTTATTAAAAGCCATAAGGCTGAATAAACTAATTTACCTCGATATGTCTTGTATTTTTTGCAATCATTATCTCGTTTCTAGTAATTCAATATCAGCAGTTGTATTGCTACTTGAAACCTCGTTATATATAACTTGATCATTAGTTGAAGAAATGTTGGAATCTTACTATATTTACAATAATTCGTATATCTACACAAAGAATTGTTTAATTTCTTTGCGACTTCAGGCATATACATATGAATGGTAATTTTCCTTTCAGTTTATGCTGATTCGTGCTATACGCCAACAGATCAAATAATAGTTGTTTACTGTGTCGAACTAAGTGATATTGTAGCTACAGGTAATGAATATTCATATTTTATTAGAAGTGTGCTTAACAGCTTACAATACTAGCTAAAACCAGATTTTCTCTTTCTATTTTCAATGCTTGTCTAGTTGCATATTAGATAAACATGTTTGTCTTAATCACATGACTCTAAGTACAGAATAATTAAGAATATAAAAAGGAGATGAAATATATACGTCAATTAAACAGTAACCTACACACACAAAAACAGACTATAAGACATCTACATGTATATAATACTGTATTTTTCTCTCTTGAAAAGGCACAAATTGAAGGTGGTAATTTTATCAAGAAAAATATACATAGCTATTTATTATTTTTACTTTTTTTTATCAAAAACACAATTGTAACTGATTTGTGAAACTATAAACAGACATCTAGTAAACGAATTTTAGTCTGAAACAGTCAATTTGATCTTATCATCATTTGCATGACTGAACAATACGTGATTTAGTGTTTTCAGATAATGTTTAGGTCAAAATTAGTAACTGACTGCAGTTAATTCAGTAATGTTCAGACAATTCGCTTGCTGTCAATTTAGTACTGCTCAGTAGCTTTTTAGACAATTACGTATGGTGTTGGTCTGTACAGGTAATTAACAACTACTGAACAGTCTGGACGTAGACTGAAAAGATCTTAATTGACTTAAAGCGAATGTCAGCACATAGAGATTTATAAAAGATAAACAATGCTGAACAGTGCTGAATTTCAAAGCAGTGAATAAGTCAAAAATTGCTTAATACTTTATTGTTCAGTCTTTTAAGATCTGTTGTCAAATGGCCGCTTCCTACTGAAATCCATTTATTAGTGGATGTAGTAAATGTCTGTATCAATAAACAAATAAAACAGTTAACTACTAGTATTACATTATCAATTCACTTTACACAGTATTTTTATTTTAGAGAAAACTATAAATGGTTTAAATGAATCCTGTGGTAAGAATTTCCAAACAAATAGAAGTTCGATTTGTGTTTATTTGTGCATGTAAACAAACTACTAAACAACCCACTTGCATGCATCTCTCTCGAAGATTTTAATTAAACATAGACAAGTTATTAATTATCATATATCTATTATCTCGCATAGAGTTTTAGTATCTTTTATGATAAGAAAACATGATATCGTTTTATTAATATCAACGCGTGTTGGCTACGTGAACCTTAATCACTACTAGCTAATCCGTTCCGTGGAATGGTTTATAAAAGATAATTGAAGCAAGATTAATGATTTTGTTACCCGTTTTCAATGTACTGTTAGAGAATCTATTGTTCACATCTAACTTAAATGCATGTGCACACTTGAAGGTTAAGCTGTAATTAACTGATGTGATAATTTCCACTATGAATTTTATTTATAAACATTCAAAATTACCTATAACAAATTGAAACGTACAATGATAATAGATTAAAGAAAAGTACACCGTTTGTAAACCAAAAGTGTCTTTAAATAAAATTGAAATTATGATGTTTCATGCATAACTTAAGCACAACTCCATTTATCATTACCTTTATTAACATCTATTCATCTTAAAAAAAAAAAAAACATATCAGACGATGATTGCAGTGGTTGTCGTTGGTTCATGTCTGTCATATTTGTAAGGCCGTTAGTTTTCTCAATTGAATTGTTGCATATTTTCATGTTGGGGCCTTTTATAGCCGACCATACGGTATGGATTTTTCTCATTGTCGAAGGCCGTACAGTTGCCTATAATTGCTTGCATCCACTTCATTTGAACCTTGGTGGATAGTTGTCTCATTGGCAATCATACCAAATCTCCTTATTTTTATACCAAAATCACGTTTTGATCAAACTGATTAGTGACGCTCAAACCAAAACAGGAGTAAGGAACAGTCTGAAAGCTGAAAATTATTGCAACATAATTTTCCAGGACGTTTTCACAGATCTGGCTACTGCTATATTTGCCTGAGGAATATCGGATCAGAATACTGATATAGAATCGTTTCGATTCATGCAAAGCTCTGATTCCTTGTCCGAATTTGGCTTTCCTTTATGTCCTCTTTTATTTGATAAGCTCTTCAAAGTTTGTATTATAGTTTGGATTTTTAAATTTTTTGGTATCAAGCCTCACTGAAGAGACATTAATGAAGTAAAATTCGTTTGTGTTATTATTCATTTCAGCACATTGAGGGTGAAATATTCACAGTGGTTGTAAAAAGTTTTAACGGATATCTGTCTGATAATTGGTTCGCTTAGAAACGCGTTTCGTATACATAAGACACAACAGTGGCGCTAGCATTTCAAAATTGGAAAACTAAATCTATTACTAAGCAGAAAAGCTTTAAAAACCAAACTTTTCTTATTGAAATTAAAACAACTATACCGTAGATATGGATCTTCTTTTGGATTGGCCCATCCCTTTTGTTCCACATACAACCCGTGTTTATTTCCGCTCCGGTAAAGCCATTTTGTGCTGCTTGAAAAAATACATGTAGATACAAGAAATTTTGAAAAGTTACTTTTTACATACTTACCATTTATTACTATTGACTAGTCACTAGCTGAAATCTTGTAGAATGAAATGTTGGCATTCATACATTTAAGAAATGGATAAAGCATTGTATTCAGAGTACAAATATATTCTTCACAAATCCAGTACATCTTAAATATAATTATTAAAGAGGTCCATTCGACTAATCGTTGAAATAATGTCTCAAGACCATACCATTGTTTTCTTTATCAAGTACGCAATGAAAATTAAAATGATGCCTTCGGACGCATACAATATAGTGTTGTTTTAATTTTTTAGCACATCCGAGGGTATCATTAACGCAGTAGTCAATGCTTCGGCACTGAATTGATTTTTAACATGCCTTTCTTTTCTTGTCCTTTTATAGATTTAGAAAGTATAAAGAAACTACGGTTCCATCTCACTCACGCAAAACTGATCTTAGATTGATATGGCTGTTATGTATAGGTTTCCATTGGTTATATAGCATGTATAGCTCGTCATGTGTTTCGGTACTTACACATCCTTGGCTTCCAAATATTTGACTTTGAGCGTTTCTGATAGAAAAACGCATCGGAAACATTAAAGTTATACATTGTTATTTTCATTTTTTACAATATTCTAAAGTACCAATCGCTTCTTATAAATGTAACCAAAGTCATCATATTTTTTCAAGATTAAATTTTTATACGCCAGACGCGCGTTTTTTCTACAAAGGATTCATCAGTGACGCTCGAATGAAAAAAGTTAAAACGGCCAAACAAAGTACGAAGTTGAAGAGATGAAAACCCTCTTAACGAACCAATATACAAATTAGAGTTTCAAAAGCACATTCAAAACATCTGAATATAAACTTTTACGGAACAAAAGAAATGAAGTAAAACAAACACTAAACTAAACCAAAAACTTAACGAAACAAACAACTAAATCAAACAGCTTAAAATGCTTTTTTGACTATTGATGCAATTGTTAACAATATAAGGATGTATGCCTTTCAATTTAAACCAGTGTTTTCAAAATTTTGACATCAACATTTATAAAAAACGTTTTTTTAATTAAAATTAATTGCAAATGACTCTCCACCTTCGTCATAGATATGTTATGTGTTTGTAGGGATTGTATGCGATTGATAAATACACAATATCACTTCTTTTCCATTAACAGTTCGTTTACAATATTTTGATTATTTCATGCAATTAATTTAAAGTCTACTGAAGAATGGAATTTGAAGTAATGAAACGGCATTTTAAAATTCCATTTATTATAGTGGATTGTGAATAATTTGGATTCCAGCATGTACGAAAGTTTTGATTATTTTAACGAAAAATCAAAACGTAATATTTGGTAGCTTAGGATAACCGAATGTAACTCAAGCCTACTTCTACACCAATTGTTCTACACTCCCACGATTCATATTACTATATATACAACAATAATTGTGTAATATATGAATGGAATATTTGCTTGAACAGATATCACTACAAAACGAAACATGTGAATATTTTCTTTATGTTTTTATTTTTATTTCTTTTCTGCAGCAAATTTCTCGATTGATCATGAGGTTTTAAAGCAATTAATTGATCAGGAAATTGAAAGAATAAAAACCAGATTAATTGAATTTGCTGTTTACATGAGAGAAATAAAGGTAAATATAGTAGCAAATTTTATTTGTCAATTCAATATACAGATTTAATGTATATCTCAGTTACCTGAAGATAGATTGAAACAACCGTTGGAAATTCACCAGCTTCATTGGGATTAACTTGTATATAAATGAGGTCGCCCTAGGAGAAAGTACATACAATAAAAATAGCACTTAATACATTATATGCGTCCGAAGCACTTTCCTGGATTGACCTTTATCAAGAACGATCAGAGTCAAATATTTAAAGCTAATGATGAATAAGTACCAAAACAGGTGAAGAGCTATATGACCAAAGGAGACCTAAAATACAAATTCGTTAGTTTCATATCAAATTCTATAGTGATAACAGAGAATTTACGATAGGTATATAAAAAATCATGTCAGTACCGAAGCACTCATCACTGAGCTTATGATACACTTGGGTACTCATTATAGTCCGATATAACTCTTTTACCAAAATTACTGGTATGTTTGTGTTGATATATTCTTAGCATCTAAGTATCATTGATTATTATATCATATGCTGTAAATGCCTCGAATGCCTTAAAGAAAGGCCAGAGATACCAAAGGGACATTAAAACTCATAAGTCGTAAAAATGACAACACCATGGCAAAAAAGGAAAAAGTCCAAACGACAAACAACAGTACACAATCCAAAAGACTAAGCAACACGTACCCCACCCAAAACCTGGGTTGATCTCAGGTACTCCGGAAGTGTAAGCAGATCTTGCTCCACATGTGGCACCCGTCGTGTTGCCCATGTTAGTACAAACCCGGTGATAAGTCTTATTCGGTTGGACACATTCGGGGGAAAGAGGACTGGATTGTGGTTACGACAATTGGAACATATTTGTCGTCATCTGTGAAACAGATATTTCAAAACTGTCAACCAACTCGTGATTGCATACATAAAATTTACGAAGGAAATCATGATTGGAAATACAAGCCCTGGAATATCGTATCAACTGTCATATGCAGGCGCTACTGGAATGTTGCTTCATAGAAATGAAAAAAAAATTTGGAAGCTGAAATCATGTATTTTGTCGTAAAGTTTTGTTTTAAACCGACCTTCATTATAAAAGCAATGATAAAAATGAATGTCAGAAAAGAATGTCAGAAAAGTACTACTGTTATTTCCCTTAACCCAGAACATAATACGTTTTACTAAGACTGTTATATACCTGTACCATTGTTGATAGATTGTTAGTTGCAAAAGTTTCTTCTGTCCAGACCTGAAAGCTAAAGGACAATCGATGATTTATAAAATACACATTTTGTAAAATTAAGCAGATTAATTAATATGTATTTTTTTACAAACCCTCAAGTCTCTCATCAAAGGTTCAAGTTGAATGTAGACGGTATTGGCATTCCTTTTTAAATTTTCTATTGCTAAATACCTCTCGATTATTTTTTATATTTTTGTATGGTTCCTAGTAAACTATCAAAACCAAGAGGTTGCATATGGCCTAGTAGCTTTGCATTGGTACTAGCATTTGAATGGCATGGGATTGTCTTTAAACTCGATATTTGTAAATTGTGTAACTATACAAAACTTAAGGTTGTAACTATCATATATTGATGAGTTGCTTGTGACGGTTCTTTTATGTCATCTACGATGTTATGCTATCAAAATGTTTGATGAATTCAGCTTTACAATCTTTTAAATCTCGAGCATGCTTGATGAAAGTATTTTTCATAAATTGTTATCAGATGTTTTGGTTTATACATTAATTCATACAGATACATGTAGACGAAAAGCCTTCTTCAGATATGCACATAATAATATATTTGAAACTACATACCATTCAAATGAACACAAATGATAAAAGTCTTGTGCGATCAAAAAAGAAGCGAAACACATGATAATAGGTCCCGAGATGGATGATAGCGCTAAATTGTTATTATCTTTGTTTTATTTTATGTTTATTCTGCATATATATGAGCCACACACATACATGCACAACACACACACTATTTCTATCTGAAAAACCGTTCATAAAATGAAATGATCAATAAACTTTGAAAATGGATAATATTATGAAATTATTCTAATGTATTTTTTAGTTAAATGGTATAGTGAAAAGCACTCAAGCAAGTTCTCCTGGTGAAGGTGTGTTGAATTTATCCAGAGAATTAAATGCAGACATGATAGTAACCGGATGTAGAGGTCATAGTAAATTACGGAGAACATTTCTTGGAAGTGTCAGTGGTTTCATACTACATCACTCGCACATACCCGTCATGGTCATTCCACATCATAAGGAAAGCCATCATCATAAACATTAGTATTTATTATTACGTGTTTGTTACATTATGCTGATCACGATACAGCTGGAAAAAAAACTCTGTTTAGTTCCGTTAGTTCATTAACAAACACTTTTGAGGATAGAAGTTTCATTGGCAATCACTCTATTTCTGTTTTTACGTACAGATAAGGATACAAATGTGTGTATATGTGTGTATGTATAAGTGTGAGTGTTTAGGTTTGGTTGATTAAAATTAATGCATTTTCTCAATGTACACCAGTTTCTTCTTTGTGTTGAATTTATCGTTTTAAGTTTAGTTTATACAGTTAACATATAGTGACATCTAGATTTCGACATTCAATTATTCTACCTCTTAATACAATACCTCAATACCTACATATATTATACTGGAGTGAAATATCCCGGCTGTTTGTGTAGTTTGAATGGTTATCTTAATATTCCATATCCCCTGAGAACAAGAACGGAAATCCTAATGGTAATAAATGTTGAAATCATAACAATCCAGTATAATATAATTTTTATTTGGGCTTCACAGGGGATCAAGGCTCATATTCCATGTCAATGCTCTTTATCCCCTGTGAAAATCTCGAAAAACATGTTACATTAATTTTATATAAAAAATGTATATATATATCTAAAAATAAATGAAAATTGTTTACAGGTATTTTGTTAATTACATGCGACTGCCCCGCTAAATTATAAATTATTGTGCTATGGTCATTTATTGTATTCTTGTCTTTTATATTTGCTTATGTGCTTTGTCTATACGTCATTTTTGTTTTTCATTGTTGACATATTTGTTTGTTTTTTTAGTGATTAAGATTAGAACACAATGTTGACCGCTATACACCTATTTTTTGACATTTTTTTCCTATTACATGTATGTCTGTTTGTTTTGTTCACACATTGTTGTCAATATAATGTAATTATATGCGACTGTCATACAAGTGAGAGGTTTAGCTAGCTATAAAACCAGGTTTAATCCATCATTTTCTACATAAGGAAATGTCGGTACCCAGAAAGGAATATGACAGTTGCAATTGTTTTCCATTCGTTTCATGTGTTTGAGCTTTTGATTTTGCCATTTGATAAGGGACTTTACAATTTGAATTTTCCTGGGAGTTCGGTATTTTTGTTATTTTTTCTTTTTGTATATCTGGTATATTTATGAGTTTTCAACTGCACTAGGTCAATTTTATTTGGATGGTTTTTTTTTTCTAACCTCAAGATAAGATGGTTTTAGCCAGATTTGGCACTTTATTTTTTTAGAACTTTTACCTCGCAATGCTTATCAACTTCGCAATGAATTTGATCGTGGATCTGTTTGGTATTCAAGTTCTACTGGGCAGTCTTACATGAAGACACGAGCGTTTGACTTATGAAATACGACTGCCGGTTGACACTTCTGTGTTGAAATGAACTATTATTGATTTTTTTTTTTTTTTTGTTAATTTACTGTCAAATAAGTACAGATATAATTCGAAACACTTCTTTTCTACTCCTAGGCTTAAATGATGTTTGCCAAATTTGGCATAACTTTGTCGAACATTTTAAATGCTATTCAACTTCGTATTTCAATTTGGATTCCACTGATGATTATTATGTACTTGAGACACGCGGGATGAAAAACAAACTAAGTATGTCGAATGATTAAACATTCTATTAACTTCACATTTACAGAAATGGTATATATAAATGCTATTTCATGTCGACCCACAGGTTCTGAATTCTAACGCTTTCATTTCAAATGGTATTAGTCAGATGACCTGGCCTAGAAACAATGATTGTTTTAAGAAATGTAAAAGACGAGGCAAGATGTTGTCCTAATAAGATATATTGATAAGAGTTCGAATATTTCATTATTGATTTCTCCTAATATTAATTACTAGTACTTTATTACGATTAAGCTCTTATCAACTGATTTTTATAGTTTGTTCATATGTTGTACTGTTACACCGCTATTCCAGGTTAGGGGAAGGGTTGGGCGTCCACTAACATGTTTAACCCTGCCACATTCTGTATGTGCCTGTCCCAAGTCAAAGCCTGTAATTCGGTGGTTGTCGTTTGTTGCTGTATATCATATTTGTATTTCGTTCATTGTATTTTTACATAAATCAGGCCGTTAGTTTTCTTGTTTGAATTGTTTTACAATTGTCATTTTGGGGCCTTTTATAGCTGACTATGCGGTATGGGTTTTGCTCATTGTTGACGGCCGTACGGTGACCTATAGTTGTTAACCTTTATGTCATTTGGTCTCTGTGGAGAGTTGTCTCATTGGCAATTAAACCACATCTTCTTATTTTATATGTAGAAACATATCTACACGTTCACGTTCATTACTGCTTCAAATAACATTATATAATGTTTTGATCCTAGAAAACTTTTCACATATCAAAATGGAATACAGGTTTTAAAGCGTACTTATTTCAAAATCGATATAGTGACTTTTTTCACTTTCAAGCATAGCATACGTGAGCAACATTGTTTTTTAATGCTCGTCAACTTTGTAATTAATTTGGCTTTCAATCTACTGTAGCAGTTATAACTGAAGCGTAAGTAATGAGTCGTATGAGGAGGAATCGCGCGTGTGCCGTACTAAATTTTAAGCTTGGTTTATTTGATAAGTTTTACAACAATGGATCGATTCCACTGCTGTTTGACGTTTCGTCTACAAGGACAGGGCTGGATTTATACACTGTATTTAAGGTGATTCGATTTGACAGAGAATATTCTCATTAGGCTATTTTACTTTAATCAAAGGAGTACTCTCACTCCGAATTAAGTCCCTCATATCAAACTGACATTTATATAGGCTTCGCCATTTTCCTGGATTTTTTTAAATTGCAACATCAAATGACCTTGAGGTCGCATGACACGTACGGCAAGATATTGTACAGAAGGAGATGTTTACCATATTGAGACTTAAACAAAATTCTCCAACTGTTTTTTGACAAAACATGTTTAAACTTTCCTGTTTACCTGTTTGTACATCGAAACCAAACGGGTTGACTTTGGTATGTAGATATGGTCACGTGGACCTCTCCTGTCGGACAGTAAAACCCATGCTAAAGAGTAGCGTCCTTTTGATTTTGTGGAATGTATACAAACGCAACAACCTCCGGTAAGAATGTAAACGTTTAATTCGGTTCCTCGTATATGATAATTCTATGTTATATGCAGGTTTAAGACCAATTGCAAATACTCTTCGAAGGGTTCAAATGTGTCTTGTTGCAATGCGAAACTTTTATCTCATTAAGAAAACAATAGGTTACCGGTGTTCAAATCTCATACATTCATTAAGGAGATGCATTTCAAGGTAAATAACAAAAACTAAAGGAATCGCAAAAATTGAACGATTGGTGCGTCGACAGGGTGATATACGCTCTTTATCCAGTGGTATTCTAAATATCTCGCCCATCATCTAAATCGATCCTTTTAATTGAACCTGCCTATTGATACGTATATCATATGATTTTCGTCCTGAATATGCAAGCATTATTTTTCACTTGTTGTTACTCATTGAAGCAATCAAATAATTTGAGAAATCCTTTATTGTTTCAACTGACGCCCTTGTGGTGCTTTTATATTTTTGTTTAATATTTTTTATGATTTTTTACACTTGTAAATTGCAAGCTTTAGCTATGATTATATACTTAGAAAAAAAACGCAAAGTTTCGAGCCATTTTTCAAGTGAGGTAGACAACATGTCAATGATGAATAACTTGTTAATTATTCAAGAAATAAGTAATTAAAGGTGATTTTAAAATACAAATGCCGATACGAGCAATTTGGCAACTCGCCACGGGTATATTTGAAATCCTGAAAAGATAGCTATATATATATATATATAGGTTGCACTTATCGTGCAGAAAAGCTGTTCAAGCATCCCACGGGTAATTTGTTGTTAAATTACAATAAAATCTATAGTTTAAAATGGATGTTAAGCATGTTATTATCACAACTAATGTGAAATGCATCTATGCCACGATTGGACTCTGCTACACGTTACAACGTCATTGGTCGTCATCAGAATAGGCAATGTGAAGTCGCCCGATAATTCAACTTTAACTAGTGCACAATGTTCCCAACTTGGCAGAGATTACACCAAACGTAATTAGCAAAGGAGCGTAAAAGAAATAGCACGCATTACTATTTCAGCCCAACGTCGAAATATCTGTGCGTTCCATCTACGCAATCAAACTGTAAATGCTACAACTACTGCTGCTGATATACTAGAATTTCCGTCCAAATTATGTAACAGGCTCCTCTAATTCGAAATTCGGCCAAGAAGACCTTAAAGAGGACCATTTTTTTTTTGCACGCATACGTTCGTTCTTGTGTTCTTTAGTGCTAAACATTGTGGGACTAGACTGTGAGGAACTGGTGCCGAACTCTCTAAAGAGGTGATGGACAAACCTGTGTATACAGCTGTCAAAATCAAATGTTTGCACCTGCCATATACAGGAAGTTCACATATTTAGCGTCTGATGCGTCATGATGTGGGTCTCAATATCATAAAACCACAAAATAAACTTAGTGTGTGTTTAGGGAACTTCAACGGCTCAACGTTATAAGGACGATACTTAGCAGCAACATATGCTATATGGCATTGACCAACACATGAGGCTTTTTCAGCAGGACAATTCCCGGCCCCATACAGCAAGAGTAACCATTGATAACTTTAATCAGTATATTATTACTATATTGCCATGGTCCTCGGGTCACTAGATTTCAATCCCAAATAACAAATTTGGGTCACTTGATTGACGTGTCCATCAAAGCCAATTCCCACCTCAATCATTGGACCAACTCAGTCTAGCGTTTCAACATGATCGCAACGGATGCATTTACCACATGTTAGATTCGATTCGCCAATGAGATGCAGAACAGTATTAACAGCATATTGTGGTCACAATAGATAACGCCAAGGCAATAGGCCAATTCATTGTACGTGACTGTTGTTTTCAAATTTTTACTCATATTCCGATATGACATTCGAAAGTGAAATTTTAGCTTAAAATACCAATGTACTTCTGTAAAAAATGAATTAAAGTGCACAGAATATACATTTCTTATTGTTTCATTTGCGGGTTGTTTTTTTAGCAGAGTATATACTAGTATTGTGTCTTCGAATTCATGGCATACAAATAAACTGAAGTAGTCGTTAGTGTAAGATACAACTCTCATACGATGCTTCCCTAAATTAGAAACGACGGAAACTCTGATAAGAAGATAACGTCTGAATATCCTAAGTTTAACCCTCAGTTAGGTGCATGTTCTTTTTCCCGTCAGTTCAAGGATTTTCTATAAACCTCGAGAATAGGATATTGTACGTTATTCTACTAAATATCTCAGTCATAGAACAAGTGTGAATGGAACTGCAAGCAGAATGGGATTCTTAAACCTCGAAATTCATTTTCAAACAGTAATTGTGAAAGCATTTAAGAACAAAAAAAACAAGCTTGAAGCAACGGATATGATACATAAGTAACTGCAAAAAAACGTACAGATTTAGCAACAAAACATTCAAAATTACATAATATCCGGTTATGAAAAGATATAGGAACAGGAAAACATGCATCTAGGACCGGATGTAATGATATTCTCATTAATTTTTCAAAAAATTTATAGAGGAAACTTATAAAGTTCAGTAATTGCATTATACGTATAAAACGTTTCAATAATATTCTCTGGTAATCTTGTTTACTTTAGATATCGTTAAGATGACAGTCATCGATCAACTTTTTCACGACAAAATGTAATAATAATCTGTGAAAAAACAGGATTGTCCTGTGAGAGATTTAATATTAGCGATATAAATTTGTATCGATCTATTGGTCCCGTGACAGAAGACAGAGAACGGATAGATATATCATGTTTCGTATCACAAACAACACTTTACCGTTAGTTATAAATGATTTGGTTTTATTGTTAACGGGCATTTTATATAATTCTTTCGATCGTTATTTCCAATTACAATTTCGTATCGACTTTTTTGTTTTACATTAGTTCAGCTTGTTAGTGGTACTGTTCGACTGGTCTTATTAACTCCGTATCTGATATTTGATTTAGTTATGGCAGATGTAATTGCAACATCAGCTTCAGAAGCAGGTTGTCTTAAGGATGGGGTGAAAACTGTAGTAATTGCTTTCGATGGAAGTGATAACGCTAAGCATGCAATGAAATGTAAGTACCGAGTACTATGTTATTTTAGGTTGCTTCAAATATAATGCGCATTTTGTTTACATTAAAGCCAAAACGTTTGATTACATAAATATGTTCATTTGCAGATACATGCCAATTACTATCAATAAAATAATAACAGCCAATCTGAGAGCGTTTACAGACAATCAATGTAAACGCGACCTTTGATCATATGTATAATATCGATTAGTAGTATTTTGCGCCATAGTTGATGATAAATAACTTGTCCAAATTATAGGATGTATATTAAGCTTTGTTTACTATTTGTGTGCGTAATGGTTTATTTATTCTTATGTTATTAACCAGATGTATTACTGACAAAACGATGCATCATTTATTTTCTATTATTCAAAGAGTCAGCATCAATGAAATAATGTCAGGGTCATTATAATTAATTTCCAAACGATATTACGTATGCTGACAATGAATTGTACCAATAATATTTTAAGCAGACTGAGTTTGACATAAGGTTTCAAATTATTCAGTGCAAAATCGAAATTGAACAAAAATACAAAACAAAACTAACTAATAAAAGAAACAAACATAACGAGAATTTTACAGGAAACAAATCTATTGCTCCACCGGCAATGATAAAGACATCACAGCACAGTGATTTTCAAATGTATGACTGCAATACAAGCTTTGTCCTTTTGTCCTTTTGGTATTTTCAACTACTGTAAAATTTCAGTTCATTAAATTTCGTGCATATCAATTTTCGTGGATAAATGAGATTCATTGATTCGTGGATACTGAAATTCATGGTTTTGTGATTTATCACTAATACATTAACACTTTATGATGGATAGTTCGTTTGACTTCTACCACGAAATTCACGAAAACTGGAATACACCGAAATATAATAAATACACAGTATCTCAAAACGTGTATATCCTTTCTTTTCCGTCACTAAATTGTCCTACCAATTTACAAAGAATAACTGGGGTCTTTCGTTTATCATTGGTTATCAATCTTTAAGTTATAAAAAATAAAATGCGTAGTATGCTTTAGCTATTAAAAGTTTTAAAATTATTTGACGAGTTTTTTACATCAAAAACAAAACACTGCACAACTTCATGTATTAAGTATATGGATGATAAAATGTATAAACACAATGCAAGGCGAAAGTCATTGGGACATAATTTCAACAACACAAATTCTAGGTAAATATACAAATAGGCAGCAAGTCAACATTGCGGCCAAACATCCTTAACGTATGTTTACATCGAACTAATCATCTAAATATGCTGTGAATTAATTCAACGAAGACGATTGATAATTTGACAATAATCCAAATAAAAACAAAAACAAATAGAACAAATAAAAAAAGAAACACTACAATACAAGCTCACGAAAAAGAGCTGTTGTTCCATGCATGTTGAAGGCATCGCTGTGACTTTTAGAAGAAAAACAGCAAATACAGCTCTGTTCCTTTGCTTTCAATTTTGTCATGAGCGTATATTGATGTGTGTCATGAAGTGATAGGCCATTATTATATTATTTCTTTTTAAAATTGGTATTATATTTTTTTGTAGATTGATACCTGGGATATTTCGTCTATCTTTGGCTACCAATTTTTAAAGTTATTTCCAAATGAAAGACATTGTGTATTAATAAGCTACAAAAATTGTAAATACTAATAACACTAAAGTCGCTGATAGTAATCAATGTTAAAAGAAAAATAAAACATTTGTTGACTTCCACTTGCAAATATTCCTATACCAAAACTACCATTCTTATAAAAAAAATAAGAAGATGTAGTATGATTGCCAATGAGACAATTCTCCACCAGAGACCAAAATGGAATAGAAGTTTACAACTATATGTCACCGTACGGCCTTCAACAATGAGCAAAACATATGCCACACAATCAGCTATAAAAGGCCCCGAATTGACAAATGTAAAACAATTCAGACGAGAAAACTAACGGTCAGGTTTATGTACAAAGCATTAACGAAAAACAAATATGATTTACAGCAACAAACGACAGCCACTTAGTCAGAGGCATTTAATTACAGGCTATATACGATCGTACATTAACTAAGGCTTGTAAAGATTGAATGTTTTTGAAATTCTTGAGTTGAGTTCGAACATTTATTTTACGGTCAATAAAAAATATGTAAAGGGGAAAATACAATACACATGTAAATTCGCTGTTTCAGAATCTAAAGGACTATGGGTAATCTTATTGCTTGTTACCCCAAATGAAAATAACGTTACGTCATTGGTTGAATTTCTATTGTTTAGGACGTTTTAAACAAATCACAACGATTTGGTGTACGCTTTTAATAATAATACCCAGACTGCATTAGATACTGAAACGGCGAAATTCTACTGAACGTTTCGAAAAAAGCTGAACAGATTACAAACTAACACAAACGAATTATCCACAACAAAATTGAAAGTATTGCGAAAGAAATTGAAAAAGAGGCAGAAGTTATAAAGGGCATATAAAAAGCACAAGTCGTTGAAAAGCAGACACCACTAATTTTAAGGGAAGAAAGTAGACCGAAAGAATAACTCGTAAGATAGGGTCCGATAACAAATGCGTTTGACATAAGGTTTCAATTAAATTATTCAGTGCAACCTATTAAAAAGTTCTCCTATATAAGAAATGGGGTTAATGTAACGACATGTACATGTATGTATCTAGGTATCAATTGCCGCCATCCCATTTCACCAATAAACAGGCTTTTCTTTGTGTCGATCTGATAAGTCAAACCTTTTTTAACTAGTTTTTATACATTTAGTTTGTTCTTATGTCGTGCTATTACACCACTGTCATGGGTTAAGGGTAGGGTTTGGCGCCCCGCAAACCTGTTTAATCCCGCAACATTATATAATGTGCCTATTCAAAGCCAGGAGCTTATAATTCAGCAGTTGACGTTTGTTGCGTATATCATATTTGTTTTCTTTACATTTTATTTTTTTTGTACATAAATCAGTCCGTTCTTTTCTCGATTGAATTATTTACATTTTTTATGTCGAGGCCTTTTGAAGCCTGCTTTGCGGTATGGGTTTTATTCATTGTTGAAAGTGGTGACTCATATAAAAATGTTAATTTCTACGTCGTTTGGTCTCTGGTAGAAAGTTTTCTCATTGGCAATCATACCACCTCTTCTTAATTTTATATTGGATTCGGATTTTGAGAAACATTACCCCTTCAATCCAAATATATTTAATCGTCGAATGATTAAAAATAACACTTTATAAATTTAGTGCGCCCAAGGCGAAAAATTGTCGAAGAAGTTTGACACCATACAAAAGAGTTAAATTAATTACCACCAGTTTAGTAATTAAATTTTGCAAGGGAAATAATGGTATTGGCGTTAAATTATTTATTAATTCATACAGAGGGATTAATATCAATGAATCTGAAAGTCGTTGTTGGGTGAAGTGGACGGGAAAAGTTAGAAAAATCATGAGTTTCTTCAAAGTTTAGGATAAAACTTCCATGGAAGTGTTACTAGAACTGGTGAATTTCAACCCCTCACTGCCAAAGACCAAACAAATTAATTATATATTTCAACTGTATTTACAATTAAAATTATTGGCTTCTAACCTATTTCAATCACTATGGTGACCTCAGAAAAATAACTGTAAAATATTCAATAAAAACGTATCCTATTGCTGATAAATAAGAGACCAATGTAAACAATTTACGCTAATAGATTAAAGTTTAAACCGAACCCTAAATATTCCGGAACTCTGTCTAAACTGAATCCAGAGCAAAACTAGAGAAAACTACACTCAGTCTGGTTCTCTCCCTTGCAACATGCGGGAATCTAAGTCACCCTTGTTGTTTGTCAGAGCCAACCCGATAAAGGACAGAGAACCAGTCTATGAACATAATGTACCTGTATAAACCGAACAAATTATTTGGTTTACCAGACAAGTCTGTCCGTATTACATTTATTTATTGATTTCATTTTGAACACATACATTTTACAATTATTTCCTGTTTCCTTTATTTTCTAAAGTTTGTCACGATTCTGGTTATTAATATGACGATATCGTGTCAAAATCAGGAAACCACTATCATAGCAAGACGGCAAACATCTGCAGCTAGCCTGAAACCCATTAGCTGTAATCACAGCAAGTAATTCATCATCTATTCCCTTGTAGTTTATGCTGATACAGTGCACACACCAAAGGATAATGTTATAGTTGTATATTGTGTTGAACTGGGCGAAGTCATTACGACAGGTACTGTACAATATATTGTAAGTCGTACCTTTGAAAAGTTTATATTTGAAAGAATACAAATATAGAATCAATACATTGTTTATTTTGTTGAACGACTAATAATTAAAATAATTATTCAGTACTTACAAAAATTAATTACATCATACAATGTAGGTAAAGTTAATGTGTACATTGCAGCAATGCTATACTCCATAGGGAGCTACCATTTGATTTTTATGGGGAGGGGGGGGGGGGGGGGGGGGGGCTAGGATGAAAAATGTTGTCCTGCATTTTTTTTTAGTTGTAATCTCTGTCCTGCCTTTTTATTTTTCACTATATTCGGTCCTGCCTTTTTTTTTATTAGTTTATCCTGCCTTTTTTTACATAAATTGTCATCCTGCCTTTTTTTTTTCCAAGTTGCTCATCCTGCCTTTTTTTTACTCAAAACTCAGTCCTGCCTTTTTTCAAATTTCATCCTAGCCTCCCCATAAAAATCAAATAGTAGCTCCCTTATACCTTATTACATGTATCTGTATTTATAAACTGTAATACCGATATCACGTGACCGATATCTAGTTTGGCATGGAAAAACTGAAATCATTCTGGTCACAATCATGAAATAATTCCGGATATGGATATAACGCCCTGTAGTATAGCATTCTCGCTGTACAATGTTTGTTTGGGTATTGTTTGTCCTTTGCATTTTGAACTTTTGCAGTTGTATTGTTTCTTTTTCTTTCTTCTATCAAATGTAAAGGTCTTCACAAATTGGGTAGACGTTTGATTCGAGTCCTTAAAGTTGTTTTAAACATTGAAGAAAATTGATTGGTGATAATTCGGTCGCTTCCAATGCAAGTAAACTACAATTTATGCAAAATAGGAAGACAGAGTGTGTTTTGTTTTGAAGATGTTGATAATTATGCTCTTTTAGAAATAATGCTGTAGTCTGTCTGTTTGTCCCCAAATAGGTTCATATAGTGCTTCGGCTAGGCATTAATTATGATACATTTTAAATGTGTATTTTTGTATAATATATTAACTAATTTCCAAGATTTCAAAACAAAGGTACCAAAAACGTTCTACTGTTGTTGATCTGTTTGACCCAACTTTGTTTTTATGTACTTAAATGATGATTTTTTTATATGATCACGTGGATTTTTTTTCAGTCGGCAGTAAACCCCATGTTGTAACGAACTTTTCGTTTGCCTGTGAGAGTTGTATAAAGGCTAAGTCATATACGACTGTTGACCTTAAATCCGATGATTCATGTTATGAGTGTGTTGTGAAGTCTGCATGTTAAAGAATATTGAATCGATAATTCCTTTTATTTAACACAATTTTATTCTTTATTTCACAGCCCATTTTTCTGTGGACCAAGAAGCATTTAAGGAGTTAATTCAGCGTGAATCTGACAAAATAAAAAATAAACTAGTAGAATTTGCAGTGTACATGCGGGAGATTAAGGTAAAATTCAACAATGCATGATTGACTTATGAATTAGTATTTGTAAATGCAAAGCGTAGACATGTCCTAGACCTAATTTGCATTAGATATTCTCAATTATGATTAGTTTTTGTCTTGGTCCGTAGTTATATATTATTTACTATATCAATAATTCAACTTGTCAATCAAGAACGGCTAGTGAATAATTATGATAGATTTATATATCCAATTATTGACATAAGCTTTTTTTCAATATTGTTAAAGTACATTGTAATCCGCAATTTTATCATTGTCAGCGCCTCCATTGCATCATGGGAGACGGGAAACAATTAAACAAATCTATATCTGGGTTGATCTGAAAATCATCCTGATCGCGAATGGTCGTGTGTAATATTACCATGTTTGGTAGTAAAAAAGCCAACATTGTCATGCAAAAGGTCATTTTCTGAAGAGTTGAAATGTGCTGCAACTGTTGCATTCTATCACCACTGGTTGTCAGAATGTTTTATAAAGATAACGATATTTTTTTTTTCTTATGTATCTTTAAAAATATATTTCAATATTTCTAAATGTAGAAAATTGAAGAAAAAAAATGTTATAAACAATGTACATGTAATGACATTTATTCAAATTATGGATTTTGCAGTAACATATAGATAAGGAAGCATAAAATGAGTTTACAAAAATACTCCCTCAATGTTATTGCTATCTCTATAGAAGGGTAATTTAATTCAAGAATGCACATCCCCCCCCTTTTCTATGCTCTTGAACTTATCAAAAATAAATAGAAACTGTTCTCATTATCCATAGTGCAAGAGAGGAGGTATACATCATATCATTGAGTCTTAGAATTACATGTATCATACCGTTTCCAAGGAGGAAACGTGATGTGTTTTACAACTTTATATTCAACATCGGATGAAACATCAGCGAGGGCGGTGAAGACAATGGCATATTTAACAGAGACAATTTAACATGATAAATATTTATGCTTGCAGGAACTAGTCTGGTAAACTATTATTGCATCTGTCTTTTGATTTTTGTGTTTGAACTTTATTTTAAACGGTTGAAATTACAACAATGAATTATAATACTTATACACAGGCAAAGCAATTTTCCAATATTTAAAGTATGTATAACACGGCATATCATAAACAATACCTACGACAGACAATTCCTTTCTATAAACAATTATTTTTATGACATTTCAGCTAAACGGAATAGTTAAGAGTACACACGCAAGTACACCCGGGTTGGGTGTTATCAACTTAGCCAGTGAGTTTAATGCTGATTTAATTGTGACCGGAAGCAGGGGACAAGGTACTTTACGGAGGACATTTCTCGGTAGTGTTAGTGACTTCATTCTGCATCATTCAAAGGTTCCTGTTCTGGTCGTTACATTACATAAGAACGCAGAGGACAAACATAGAACCTAACTTTTCTGATTGTATTCCATTTGAATTGGTAACAAAGATGAATATTAAAATGTAAAAAAGGGCACTTACATTGAAGCCTTGCCATGACGTGTATCAAAACATTATCTTTGACATTATAGTTGACGGTCTGGATGGAGGTTCTTCATTTCTGTATTCTTTAATTTTTTTTGACATTTTTCACCATTCTTAATACTTTTTGCTCATTATTCTATATTCTTTAATATACTTTTTGCTATTATTTTCTATTCTTTATATTTTAGCACCTCATTGTTCTCTATTCTTTATTTTTTTGGTCTGTTTTTCTCTATTCTTTATTTGTTTTACCCATTATTCCCTATTCTGTAAACCCCCATTCACACCCTCACAATTCACAACTATTGCAAAATTGACTCTATACTTAACGTTTCAGTAGAAAACAAAAACATTATCGACGATAGAAAAATAAATAATTATTACGCACTTTAATCATTGTTTTTTGTTAATAGACATTTATAAACGATTGTTTGATTCTCCCGTATCATCATAACGGTTACATTTGTTTTGGTTTGGAAACACAATGTTTTTTAAGAAGCTGTTAATGGCAAGGTCATACTACTATTGTTTCGTCGTTATTTCATTTGCCATGCCATTTCGTCTATTTATCGCCTATTTCATACAACAACGAGTATCAATGTACGTAAGTTTAATAAAAATACACTGATGAAATATAAAATATGGAGATGTGGTATAATTGTCAATGAGACAACCATTTATCAAAAGCCGTTGGTTTTCTCGTTTTGAAATGTTTCATATTTTGGCATTTCAGTGCCATTTATAGCGAACTAAACCATATGGGTTTTGATCATCGTTGAAGGCCGCATGGTGACCTTTAGTTGCTTACATTTCAATAAGTTTTGGCTGTTTAAACACTTCTGACTCGAGCATCACTAAAGAGACATTTATAATTGTAGAAATGCTCATCTGGTGAAGTAAAATTGGTACCGTTTATGTCATCATCCGCGTCATAGGAAGAAATAATATCAAGATGTATTTAAAATCATTGGTGAAAAACATCAATATGTAAGGTCATGGTCAAATGAAAATAGATAAAGCTACACAACAAGTAGCAAGAATAGAATGATTGACGAGAGTGCACACTTAGGAAAGATGAAATCAATTAATATATAATACTCTTGAAGCTTAATTAAGTGTGTAGTTTACACACGTGTGCCACACATGGGACACTATAAACGTTTTTAGTTAATATGTAAATACTGAAAATTCCAAATCTTGAATTGGTGAATGATTTTGAAGTGCATCTGATGCATACATTAAATGTTTCCCCTTCAGTATCACAAAGGCGTTTTGTATAAGGTCTACTCAAAACTACTAGTGCACATGTAAGTACTAAAGTGTTTTACCGAAAGTAGGCTACTATAAAGACATGATTTTAGTTTAAGATCATTTTTGATATAAGCAAGTTATCCTCCTTTCTTGAAATATAGAACTGGGGCGTTACAATGCAGAGCGCTGGTAGGAAGCAAAATCCCCTCACTAGCGGCAAAGTAAAATTTGATTAAAGACAGTAACTTTTTACCTTACTTACTACATGTATACCTCGATTTGGTAAACAATGATGTTTACTCAAAACATTAAATATTCAGTTTTTTATAAGTTAAATTCTCTAATTTGTAATATTACATAAAAAAGATGTCAGGAATTGCCAAAATATATAAGACAGTACAATACATAACACGAACCACCAACGCGAGACGCACAAAGCTTATATCTAACATGAGCAACACGACGGGTGCCACATGTGAAGCAGGATCTGCTTACCCTTCCGGAGCACATGAGATCACCCCCAGTTTTTGGTGAGGTTCGTATTGCTCAGTCTTTAGTTTTTTATGTTATGTTTTGTGTACTATTGTTTGTCTGTTTGTCTTTTTCTTTTTTAGCCATGGCGTTGTCAGTTTATTTTCGACTTATGAGTTTGAATGTCCCTTTGGTATCTTTCGCCCCTCTTTTATTCTTACCACTTCTCTTCAATCAAAAAGATAGTTGAAAAAAATAAAAACAATACAAGGGAGCGCTTTTCATGATTAACGTTCATCAGGAACGCTCAAAGTCGAATATTTGAAAGCCAAGGATTTATAAGAACCGAAAAAGTTGTCCAGCTATATGTCCAAAAAAGACCCTTGAACAAAAGCCAAATCCATCAAAGGTCAACATTGCCTGAGGGAGTTGAAACCTAAGTGAGATAACGGACAACTGAAGTATTATATGATCTGTATAGTTCTGAAGATGTATGAAATATTTGACACTGGACATTAAACAATAAATCATCTAACCAAGTTAGTTAACACTCATATTATATTATGTGAACAGAGTCTAATTCAGGCTTTATGTGAATAGAGACTGATACAAGCTTTCAAAAACGATTTTCTGAAATGTGCTATAACCGATCCAATAATTGAAGAATATAGTACTGTTAATTGTTTCAAGACATTTATTGAATGTAATTGGAATGAATTTAATAGTATCGTGTCCATTAATGATGTCTATACGCAGTAAACAAACAATTAACTGGCGTTCTGTATAATGAAACATTTTGAGAAAAACAAAAATACTTGTTACAATTTATTATAGTAATTACATTATTGCTTTTCATTGTTTATAATTGTTTGTGTTATTACCTGAAACATTAAGCATTTCAAAATGACTGTATTCTTGCTTTCTGTGGTTTATTATAAACATTGGCGTCGTTCGCATTGAAAACCGTACGTATCATGTAAATAAATTGAGATGGGGGACTAGTTTAATGAGTCAGCAAACTAACGACACAAAAGTGGCTGACGCTTAGTCTGACTTCAACAAAAGAAATGTTTTTATAATCTTAATCTGCTTAGCCAAACAGGCTTTTAATAAATCTAACACGAGACTAGCTAGACTCAAGCTAGCAGCCACTCGCTAGCAGCCACTCCGCTAGCAGCCAGTTTTCAGATATGTCTATAAACCCAAAAGTTGCATAAGACTCAAATGTTTTTTTATACTATATATAACGTTTTTTAATTTTAGTTAACAATCGAAGACACCATGCATGAGTTTAAGGGGTGGATCCAGGATTTTTGAAGGGGAAAAGGGGGGGGGGGGGGCTAATTGCCGAAAACATATACGTATATCGCTGATAGGAGGATTGCAAAAAAATGTTGAACGATTTTATATGCCGAAAAAAAGAAGATATTTTTCCGTTTAAAGGGGAGGGTGTCGTACACCAACCACGCTTTATCTGAATCCTCCACTGAATTTTACATTTTCATTTTTTGTTCAAGAATTAAAAGACATTTGTATATTTTATTAGCACACCGCGCTGCACGTTGAAAGGGTGAGAAATAAATGAAAAAAAAATATAGAACACTACAAGAGTGGAGAAATAAGGAATTTCTTTTTTAAAACACAATGTGAAGCAGCATTTTTCTTTTACAATTTAACCCTAAAAAGCACGGAAATGTGGAATAAAGTTTTTGTTATAAATCTTTAAAAAATATGATTTACCTCCCTTTAAAAATTATTACTTTAGAATAATTGAAATATTAAGTCTTCTTTGATGCGTAAAACAACAAATACTTGTATCATAAGGTGTCAAGCATTTATCTATTTACAATTAATGATCATGTAACAAACAATTGCAGAAATTATATATAATTAAGCTATTTTCAGTTTCATTTTATGCCCATTTCATGAGATTCATTATGATTATTCATGAACTTCGAACAACAATGATGGGAGAAGCGGCCGGGGTAGCCGACTGTGCGAGGGCTGTATAGCTAGTGAAGGCTGTTAAAAACTCATCATTGTTGCACGGTAAGAAATTTTTACAAAGATAAAGATTAAAATACAATAACAGCAAACCAAGAATAGCTGAGATATTCAATACAAATGTTACAGAAAAAATATAAATATATTCCATTAAGCTTTAACATTGACAAATATGATGAAAAAAAAGGAAGGGACTACTATACTAGTCAACAAAAGAAACGATACAAGGCAATGTATTTTCCATATATCATCAAATTAAATACACTGTACCAAAGTAAATAACTGCCCTATTCGTCTAATTTTTACAGAGTGTTATTTTTCTCATCAAAACCAAAGCAAAAACGCGAAAAAAATTTCTAAAAGTTTTGTTATTTCAAAAATCGTATTTTCACCCAAAAATTCAAAAATCGGTGTTAGAACTTTAAACTGTTAAACTTAAACATGGTCTGCTTAAAATTTTGAATGCCTTTGCAGATATTTGAATACTTAATTATCATCTTCGAAATTAAGTGCCGACTTTTCTGCAAAATAAATTTGACCCCTGTGTTCAATAACTTGGTATTTTGTAACTTTCTAACTTGGTCATATTCCTTTAATCATATGCATTTGCTTTGTAAATGAATGATTTTCATAGGATAATTTAAAATATTTTCCTATTTTTTATATTTTATGATAAATTTTAGTTCAAACTTGTGTATCGTTTCTTTTGTTGACTAGTATATTTATTTTTAATTCGGTTGGGGGAATTTTAACTAGTTAGAACTGATAATAAGTAATGAAATGAATAAGCTAACCAAGACGAAGTGGTAACTGAACATAACCTATCATGTCGAAAACAGGATGAAATGAATATTCTACCCAAAATAAAGAATTGTTGTGAACGAAATCGAAATCAAATTTTCGACGGCTTTGCCGGCCCCCAAAAATGAGCCTGCATAGAAACCGGTAAACATGAATGACTATTGTGAAGCTAACCGGCGATAACAGTCGGCCGCTTACTATTCACTAGGGCAACCTGCAATAATATTCATGAGATGACCTGGGTTCGATGAAGTGTTCTAAGAAAATATCAATTATAAGGATAAAATAATGTTTGCTGATTATATTTGATATTGCTACAAATAACAATAAATTCTTAACTCAACGGGTGTCTTCTTCGAGGTCTGCGTTTACTTAATCAATTATAAAAAGGGGAACGCTTACGTAAACCGATAGTTTACAAATATTTTTCGGTAAATTATAAAAAATGCCAATTGAAACATCAATGAATAGCCTTTTATATTTAAACATTAAGCTGAACCAAAAATACAATCTACAGATGCTTCTTAGTAAAGACACATTCCATATAAGATTACAAAATGGTTCTTATTAAATTCTCTTACATGCCGACGTGATTTTTTACTGGTTTTAAATCACTTTCAGAATTATACAGTTCTCATATTATATACATTTTTTTTCATCCATATTTAACAGTTCAGACTAAAGATAAAACCAATTACCCCCACCCTATGCTGACAAAGTCGTACGGGTTTAGGGCATATGTACCATGAGACAGTTAGCGGTAACATCTGGTACCATGACCAACGTGAATAATCTATAGGTTTGTACAGCCGGCAATAGTTCAGTTGGACAATGTGCATCAGAATATCAGGACCCCCCTCCCCCCC